TTAAAAAAAAGTCCCGCTGCCCATCCGCTGCACAGCGGTGAAAGCGCGGTGGCGCTTCGCCGCTGTGGATGTACTTTTACCGCCGGGAAATGTTCCATTTACTTGAGCGAGATTAGCAGCCGCAAAAGCGAAATTTCATTTTGCACTGGTCCGAGAGGAAGAGAGACGGCGGGGGGGGAGGAGGCGCATTGTCGAGGTCTCTCCTTAAATTCAACGCTGAACTTTCCTTGCGAGACGTCCCGTAGCTATCCCGTAGTTAATAGCGCGCTCGGACGGGAAGTTCGAGCGTGTATGTGTGTGTGTGTGTGTGTGTGTGTGCGCGCGCGCGCGCGCGCGTTTAATAATTGTTAATACACATTTAGATCGCAATAAAGTTACGCGATGCGTCACTAAACGCGTCGCCGCGGGGCGTTGTTAATTCGCGGAAGTTAATTGCAGACGCTGAAGGTACTATTCCTCAACAAGCGGTAATAAGATTTATGAATCTAATAATGTCGGCGCGCCGCGATTGTGGTGTGTAATGTATTCGCCGGTTAAACGCGAATTACCATTCGGCGAGTAAGAACTTGCGGCGATAATATTTAAGAAAAGGACAATGGAAAGGAATATATACGGGGAAATGTAGACGGGCTTACATCAGATAACGCGATTTTACGTTGAAGGAAAAGGAATTCAAGCGGCTATGATTAATACAACTTTATATCAAATAGATCAGTTTTATTAAAATAAGAGAATGGAAACACGCCTCTGCGGTGTTCGATAAATGCTTCAAAATTCCTGCAGTACCGAGTCGAGAGATCCTTATTCCACATTAACCCAGCAAATTTTATCCAACTTGAAGAACACTGTCGTTCTACCTTGACGCTACTTTAGCGGCGACTACTTTATGCCATTTCCTTCGCGTTGAATTGCCGCGACCATTTGTGGACTGAAATTAAAGGTGAGCCTTCAAAGCGAATCGAGTATCGAGGTAATTGAACGTCATAAGTAATTTCTCGAGCAAGTGTTTCCTCGAGCTTCTTCAACATAGACGACCGTAGGCGATCATTCTTTTTTTAATTCATCGATCCTTCAAGCTGATGAAATTTGCAACGCAGAAGCGACGTTTCAATGCAGGGACTTGCAAGATTCGCATGTCGCTCTGTTCCCTGACTGCTTCCAAACAAAAACTTACAAACGCCGCGATATGTCGTACCGCCTCAGGAAAGAAGCGACTCTCGGACATATCGTAAGACATATTTTGCAAGACTTTGGAATATTAAATAACATGCGTGCGTAGATTTCACTCATTCCTTTACGTGCTCGAGTTAACGAGTACGCCAGCTCATTTGCTATGTCGTTTGCCGCATGGCGGCAGCTCAAGCTGTACGTGGCTTTGCTACGTCAATGACACGCGGCGACAAGGAAAGAAAGAGTATCCCAGGAAAGCCGTTTAAAGGGTTTTTCGCTCGTATAGAACGTAGCGGAAATAATTATCCACCTCTCTCTCTCCATCCATGCTCCCCCCTCCTCTCTCTCTCTCTCTCTCTCTCTCTCTCTCTCTCTCTCGGGTTCGCGAAAGTGCCGAGCATGGACAGCGCGACGGGTTTGGAGGCTTATCGATCTCGGGTCGCGTTGCAGAAATAACTTTCGGACGAGGAACGAAGGGAACGTGTAGTTTGCTAAACGATTCTCCAGAGCGAGGCGCGACGGGCGATCCGAATATACGTGTCCGTCCGTCGGTTCTTTGCGTATTAAATTGCGCCTACATCCGTGCGGCATTTCGCGATATCTCGTTTACCGTCGCCGCAACGCCGCAACGGATGTCCATTCCCCCGTTCGATCTTAAGCGAATTTCACTCTCGACGTTCTCGATTCTGTCAGTGCGCGATGTCCATGTGCCGTGACACGGCGAATTTGTCAATGGACCAAGTCCGCGATATTCTCTGTCAGGCATTACGCAATTTTGTCACACTCGCCGACCGCTCGCGCGATAACGGCGCGATATCGTCGGACTCGGTATCGGGGCGAGCGCGCCGGCCGGCCGGCTTGCGCATAACAGAATATTGGCACTCGCGGAGTGGAGCCGAGAATAACCGATAATAATAAGTACCTGCCACTCGCACGGCCGACCGACCGTCATCCATCCCGCGGCCAGAAAAGTCCGCTTGTCTGCGATTTGCGGCTGATTGCTCGTATGAACTTCCGGATCTCTCCGAAGCGGATGGCGGATGGCCGGACAAATCGTCCCTCCCGCCGAGCGGTCGGCTCTTCTCCTTGCCAACCTTGCGGGCCTTTTCCGCTTTCGGTTTCTCCGTTGTTTAATTCCGTTTCGTCGAGTGGCGCGCTGTCGATGCCCACCGCGGTGGACTGCGGTGGTATCCCCTGAAAACGAACGGACTCTCTCTATTCCGTCGGCGGACGCAGCAGAAGCGAGATCTCCGTTTTTTCCCGTGAATAAACGCCAACGTCTGATCGTCCGGGTTTATTTTTTTTTTCGTTTTTTCCTTGCGACTTCAAACGCGCGAGTCGCTCCTCTCCCTTCGGCGGGATCGCTTCCGCCGTGGCGCTCCGCGCCGCGCCGCGCCGGCCAAGGGATATACATATGTACCGCCGGAGACCGGCGCGCGCGACGCGTTACATAAGCGGATAAGTGGAAAAAGGTGCGCCCGGCCCCGGCCAGCGAATCAGTGGAACGCCGTAGCACGTGCGCGACGGCGGCCGTCGCGACGTTCGGTATCGCCGTCTATCTTCTCCTATCCGGATGCGCAGCGCGACGTTTCCCCGCGATTTTTCCTTTGCAAGACGCGAGAGTCGGCGGGAGTGAAAAATCAGCATCCTGCACCCGTGTATCGTTGAATGCGCTCGGAATTGCGCGAGGCGCGGGGCCGCCTGCATCGGCATGCAAAATTGCGCTTGATATTCAAGAAGTATGCATTATATACACTTCATTGGTTATTTAATATCGTTGCCTGAGATCCGAGTGAGCGCGAGGTGTTCCCTTTTGTCATGTTACCGTAAATGGGTCACGTCGGTTTCGCGAAATCGAGTTATTTAGGTGTTTAGGTAACGCGATTGCAGAAGCGGCTGGCGATTACAGTAGCTCTCGGCGAAACTATTTTATTGATTTATTTGACATCTCTCTCTCTCTCTCTCTCTCCCTCCCTCCCTCCCTCCCTCTCTCTCTCTCTCTTTCTCTTTCGTAAGAAAACTTTTTTATGTCTTCTTTTCTTCCTCTCTGTTTGAGTGCATGGCAAACTTGAGGGAGGTGAGATGAGGTCGCTGCAAGAATTGATCACGGTTTTTACATTGTTAGGTAGTTAATATATTGCTATATTATTATTTTACGATACAATAATACTTTTCAAACATCCTCCTGCAGCTTAGATATTGCCACTAATTATCACACACAATCGAAACTCTCACAAGTCTTGTTGCTCTCTCTCTCTCTCTCTCTCTCTCTCTCTCTCTCTCTCTCTCTCTCTTTGGTTACACACCTGAGAGCTTGTTTACAGCATATTTAAATGCGTAATGAGAATCTAATGACGACATTCTAAAATCTCTCGAGTACCTCGTGGGCGATCTGCGATCCGCGACTATGCGGACTCGTGTCGAGGAAACGTTCGCGGCCGGTCCCGGCAGAAACGCCCTCGCGCGCGCGCCATTCGACGATTTATCGGGGAATCCGGAAAAGTCAGGAATCTCAGGAATTGCGACGATAATTGGCGGCAGCCGTCGCGTGCCACCTGCAAAAATATCAAAATGCAGAAGGGGGCTTCGACATGGGGTAATGCGATTCTTACGACTGCCATAAATCTTGCGGCACGAAAATTGGCACCGACAACGGCACGTAAAGTTCTGGCTCGCTCGTAAAAAGTATGAATCAAATATCTATTTCGCGCAAAGCAAACAGAAAATTACGTGCCGCTGTTGCGATCGCGGGGCGCGGCGCGACGAGTTCAGGACCGGTCTCTTTCTCGGCGAAAATATCGCCGCGCCATCGAGACGCGTGATTTTTTGCACCCCAGGCGGAGCGATTCCACGAGCGAGAGCACGTCGCAAAACTCGCGCGATATTAATGCGGAATTGATTCAGAATTTATCCGCCTTGTCGGAACGCGGCCGGTCGCCGAGTTAGCAGAATTTTTTACGCGCGCGCATACTCGCGATGACAGACAGGTGCGCGGTAACGGGCGAATTTTCGCGATACTCCAATTCTCGGCCGAGCGGCTCGCGCGAGAGGGGGAGGAAAAGAAATTGCATATTCTGAGCGACGTAAGCGAGCGCCGCGGTTTATCGCCGTCGCTCTAATCGCCATCGCTCGAATATATCGCGCGTGAGCGCAAAAACGATCGTAAGTTTTCACGATAACCCGCAATTACCTGTCCATAATTCACGAGCCGGCGTCTTTCGTGCTCTTTGCCTCGTGTGCTTTATTCACTCCGGTCATTGCGCCGTTGTAATAAATTACAAATCCGGCCGCGGGGCCGCGATCAACGGCGCAATTAGGCTCGTTGAATTTCAATGCTCCTGTTAACGGTCCGGCTTGGGACGTCGTGCTCAATTCTCAATTTTTAATATTCCTCGCGCACGACGATCTCACGCGCACTCCTCGATCGAGGTCGAGTAAAATCGACGGACGTAGAAATGTTAATGTTTAAACCTAACAAGCGCGTCTTTCTCGGTCAACGTCTGTCTATTTAAATGTTAACTACGCGTTAATCACTTATCAAGAAAAATTATATATTTATGGAACGTATGCACTTTATCGAGAATCTCTCATCGCATAATACACGACAATACGGTCGGATGACGAGGAATCTACGAGAATCATGATGAGACTCTATTCGCTTTTTTACGGGCAACTTCCGAAGAGGGGGGAGGGGGGGGGATCCCTGCGTCGGGACGTTTCCGGGAGAATCCGCGAACTTTCCGGGGCCGAGTGCGCAAAGTGTTATTTACCGACGATACAAGGGCGATCCGATTGCGCCTGTATAATGGGTCGTTCTCCTTTTATTGCAGCGCGAAAACTGAAGGGTCTGGGGCGCGCGACGGCGAGAAGAAATGAGGTGGACGTGACACAATGACATGATGAAGAGCCTGGTGGGGATCATGTGGATAGTGTTGGTGCTCATATCAGGTACGTACGATCGATCGAGAAATCGCGAGTCCCCGACCGGCGATACTAATCGGCGAAAAATATCGCCTGATCGCTCTCAGAATCGTGCAATCGTCCTAACCTCGTTAATCCAGTGATCCTTTTCCGACAATCCTGCAAGGACCGACTTGGAGACTTGAGCCGCGCTATTGGCGAAACGCGCGGCCGACTTCCAAGTCGCAAGTCTTTCCCGGGGGGGGGGGAGGCGGGGGAGAGGCGGAGGAAACCAACGGCTCGGTTCTGAATTTTTCCCGTCGACTCGAGACCTTTCTCCGGCGTGAACGTTCGCTTCAGTTCGGACAATCGTGCGCTCCTCAGTATCCTCGTTCCCGTATAAACGGCAGCTTAATATACGAGGGCAGTCCGAAAAGTTCTCGGCCTAGCAATGCAAGAAAATTCTTTCGCCGTGAAATATGTTTTATCTTTCAATATAATCTCTTGAGACTTCAATACATTTATCCCAACGTCTTTCCAATAATTCAACACCATCATTAAAGTGTGATTCCGGAAGGTTCTTTTTGGCTCTGGTATATAGCGGTGGATTCAAGTTTCATCAATAGTTATGAAACGACGCTTGAAATCCATTTCATTTTGCTTAAAACGATCAAAATGTGCCAGACACGCATTCGAATGCGTTTCTGGTCAATTGTTAGCAAATGCGCGGCACCCATCTCGCACAAAGCTTTTTCAACCGGTGCTGCTACTCGAATGACTTGACAGATCGAATAAAATTTTACATCAGGGTTTATATCAGGGATGCCACTTTCCAGTACAATTATAGTTTGACAGTTTCTAATGCCATGTATGTGTCAGGTCGAGAACTTTTCAGACTGCCTACGTAGCCTTGTAGCCTCTGTTGCATGCAACACGTCACTCAATAAGTTCGTAGGATGACATATAAATTGCGCTACTATTGACAAATCCATATGATTTTTAGGAAGTACTAACCTTCAAACGATACGTGCCAAAATTTCATGACAATCGGACGTTTGGTTCACAAGTTACAGTGATTTTAGTGACGCGCGACGTCGACTCGTTTTAGCGACGCGTCGACGATTCAGCGGGCTGTTTGGAGCTGTTTCAGCGCAATAAAAAGGATTTTTTGATGCGGTATGTGACAGTGGATGAAACATGGATCCATCACTGCACTCCCAGAGTCAAATCGGCAGGGAAAGCTCCAGGGAAAGAGACTTGGCTCCGATGAAGAGGTGGTTGCCGAAACTGAAGCCTTGCTAAAACGAGTCGAGCGTCGTGCGTCACTAAAACCACTGTAACTTGTGAACTAAACGTCCGATTGTCATGAAATTTTGACACGTAGCATTTGAAGGTTAGTACTTCCTACAAATCATACGGATTTGTCAATAGTAGCGCCATTTATATGTCATCCTACGAACTTATTGAGTGACGTGTTACCTACCTGTTCAGCGGGCGAGTATCTCTGATCGGTGCTTCTGCTGCGAGAGAGAGGGATGAATATCAATATGTATGCACGCGTGCGCGTGTACGCAAGAGGGGGAAAAAAAAATGTAGCGGCGAATGTTAGTCTCGCGTGTAGACACGGAACGCCGCCGCTTGAAGGCTCGTAAACCGTTCTCCGTGTCCCAAGGGTGTGTTCGCCGGCTCGATGCTGCCGTATAATTCCCACACGAACGGGCGACTTTCCGTGCCCGTGTCTCTATTATCATGCATACTGCGGGGCCGGCGCGGCGCGGCGGTCCGCAGGATGCGTAACTCCCCTCCCCGTCCGAGTCCTCGGACGTCGTAGCCGGCCGCATTTACGATCGCATTTTCGCGCGCGCGCGTCGTTCTTATGCACCGCGGCGAGATTGCACCTCGCGGATTGCCGCCAGATGCACTCGCGACGCGGCCGTAAAACACTCCGCCGTCGCTTTTTCAGCGGCGAAACGTGAGAGCACTCGCGCGGGCAAACAACGCGATTACGAAGCTGAGGCCGAAACTCGCTGCTCCTCGTTAGAGTCGAGTTCAAATCTCGTGCGCGCGTCGTCGCCGACGTCCCGCGACCTCGCGGTCGTCGAATATTATATATAGCGCACTATATATAGCGGTATCGTTAGAGTAGACGTTGTACAGTTGAATCGCGCGCGGGTCGAACAATTTCGTTCACTCGCGCCGTGTGTGAAGCGTGCGATGATGCCTCAAACATTCGTTAAGCTAAGCCAAGTTTTCGCACCGTCGAGATCGTAGCGTCGCTACGAAAATAACGTCGCAGCGAAGATTTATCGGAAACGTTTGTACGGAAACGTCGTCACAACGGCTCGGCGCTCGTATGCAAGTCTATCGGAGTGTCTCGTCGATGTTCGAACATGATCAGTCTTGGGGAGGCTAAAGAGGAAGAAAAGGGTAGAAAATACACAAGGGGGGAAATCGGCCGCGGAAGCAATTCGCTATCGACGTTCTTACAAGCGACGTCAGCCCTCCGTCTCTCTCACTTATTATTATTTTCCCGGCCTGTCTCGAACCCAGTTTTCCGGCTACCTCTCGATATATGTGTCGGAAGAGCCCGGTTGGCTCAGTTTCAAAATTAAAATCACTGCCGGCGTCGCAGCGAGCACGCGACGCTTGCCCCGCGGGAGGCTCGTAAAACGGCGATAAAATGACGTGCGACCGTAATAAACAATATAACGGAGAGTCGAACACACCGGCGACTCTACCGTGACGACGGCGACGGCGAGAGGCGAATTCGTCGTCCCAGCGACGCCTTTCACGCGAGAGAAAGAACCCGCCGAAAAAGGTCCGTCTAATCGCCGCCGGGACCATTCGACGTTGAAAAATGGAACTCCCTCTCGGCCGACGAGGATGAATAAATCACGAGTCGTATATTTTAATAAACGCGCGATTTAAGGCGGCACGCAGTGCGGTGGGAGGGGTCGGAATCGAATTACTTCGGCGAGATGGTAGAAATTATTCGCGCCCTTCCGCTTCGTTTAATCTCGGGAACGCGGCCGTCGCGAATACGGAATCGTAGAATACGGAGCGAACTGAAACGGCGGTCCGAGTAGATTTCGAAATATTCAGTTAATCCGAGTTTTTTCGTCTCTCCTTTCCCATCCCCCCCCCCTCTCTCTCTCTCTCTCTCTCTCTCTCTCTATCTTTCCTCCTTTTCTCCGTCTCTTGTCATTTATTTGTTCAAGCGATGCGCAGAGGTGTATCTACTCGACGAGGTCTCGGCAAGTACGTGTCGCGAGATAGGGGCGATACTTAAACGTTGAAAAAAAAAATGGTGCACGTGTGTGTGTGTGTGTGTGGGTGCGCTCCGTTGAAACGTGTGCTCCCGACACCTCCGAAGCGTCCCAATGCTCCGACGGAAAATAGAGGAACACTTTGGCGGAGCGCGCACTTCCGGGATTAGCAATAGCAATTTGTAGCCGGTAGATTTTACGCGCGGAGCAGCGTAGCATTTTATCTTGAAATTACAAATGAGAGGAGAAGCCATTCGGACGACGCGCGCTAACGGAGTAACGTACGTGGTATCCACTCCCTCTCGGTCTACCTGCGCGCGTGCGCTCTCTCTCTCTCTCTCTCTCTCTCTCTCTCTCTCTCTCTCTCTATATATATATATATATATATATATATATATATAACGACGGCAACGCTTTATGTACTGCCGTATGGCAAAGGGTTAAATATGCGCAAAGCGCGGAATCCAGCGGGTACGCTCACACGGGCATGGATAATGGGAAAACTACGGTGCCAGAATTACCGAGCTGTCCTGTTACGCGGATAAACCATTCGCGGCTGTCGTCCTTCCTTTGATATCTGCCCTCGCGCGCGCGCGGCTGAAATATTTCCCGCTTTTCCTCATTCTCGCGCGCGCGCGCGCGCGCATGCTAACGCGTCTTGTTTTCGCTCGGTTTATCGACAACAAACGGACCGTCGCGATATTAAACGTAAACTTTGCGGAGGCAGCGAAAAATTTACATCGTATTATAAATAAAAATCATCCCGGAGCGGGGGAAGAGCGCAAATTGAGAAGCGCAGAGTGAAGCGAGAGAGAGAGAGAGAGAGAGAGAGAGAGAGAGGGAGAGAGAGAGAGAGGGAGAGAGAGAGAGAGAGAGAGAGAGAGAGAGAGAGAGATAGTCAAGATTCGCGAAGATACGAATTTAATTGGAGCTACGCACAAATATCGCGGCCGCCGCTCGTCACTCGCATGACGCGCTGTAGATATGCGAAGGATATGTCGCTTTAAATTAATTGCGACGCGTGTTTATTTTCATATTTCTCGCGGGAACACGTTGTGCACACGCGTAGAGCGACGTTGCGGCGGCATTTGCTTTTGATATCGCGAGTTTAATGCGTGATGCCCGCCGCTGAAGCGATTTTTCATGAGAGCGGCTGACGCGCGCAAACAATTCATAAACATTCGCCTGAGCGCGAGGTTTCAGCTCATCTTTCAGGCGGCGGCGGCGGCGGCGGCGGTGGCGGTCCAACTCAGAAACTCAGCTCTTTCCCTGTGCTCGCAGGATGCTCAGGAAATCCGGACGCGAAGCGATTATACGACGACCTCTTGTCGAACTACAACAAGCTGGTTCGTCCAGTGGTCAACGTCACAGACGCCCTCACCGTTAAAATAAAGCTCAAGCTTTCGCAGCTCATCGACGTGGTAAGCAATGACCAGCGTCGCCTAAGTTCGCGCCAGTTGTTCGCGCGAAGAGAAGTTTGTCCGGAAGTTTTTACGAATGTGGAGTCTTTTTTTAAATATTCGCGGCATTGTCGTCGACATTATCGCTGAAAAGCGTCACATATATTTTCGTTACACCTTTCACAGTTCATGAGACTCCGCAATTTGAGTCTGCCCTGATGTGCGAGCGCAGCCCGGTAATAAACGAGCGGACGACCGTGCAGTTTTTACCCTCTGATTAAGAAATCCTTTTCGCGCAGCTGATAAAAATTGAGAAAAGAGAATATCGGCGGGGCATGATGAGACTGAGAGATGAGGAATAACGAAGGAATCTTGTTTACATTAATCGACGACACACGCGAGCGAGAGACAACCGCTCGCCGTTGCCTCTCCAAGGGTCCAAGAGCCAAGCTGCGAAATCTCACGAACTTTTGCCGCCTGGTTATAATCGACGTCGTTGACACACGCGCGTAATTTATTTTCAATCAGCTCGAGTAGCGCAGTCACGTGTCTCGGCTCATGATCGAACGTTGCGATGTATCTTCAGAGCGGGAGAGAGCGATGTATTCTCACAAGATTATTTCTCTCTTGCAGAACTTGAAGAATCAGATCATGACGACGAACCTCTGGGTCGAGCAGGTATACATACACACACACACACACACACATATATATACATATACATATATAATAGATATATAATAGATGTATAATACGTATAAATAAATTCTGAGATTATATATTCTGTAAGATCCACGCGAGAGAGAAGAGCGACGGACGGCAAAATATCGAGAAACGCGCGATGAAAGCGCGCGCGTATGCGCGACCGTCACACTCGCGCTCGTCGTGTATCTCCGATCTTCGATTTTCGCTCGGGAAAATCCCAAAGCGAGAGAGCGAGAGAGCGAGAGAGAGCGAGAGAGAGAGAGAGAGCCCGGAATACATTGTAAAATCCCGCCGATGGCCGATGGCCGATCGCGGGAAACAAATATCCGCGCGCTGGCTCTCCTGGCGATGACGTGCGTCACCTCGCATATGGCCGCGCGTAGATTTTCGTACGCGGATGAACGCACGGAAACACGAAGATCGGACAGAAGCTCCCCGGTCCGAAAGCCAGAAAATAACTCCGCTGAACCGTGCAACCCACTTTCAAACGCCGCGCGGATTACGTAAGACAGATTCTCGCCATGTTCGCGACCGTTTTTCCGTCCCGCCACGATATACGGCGACCGCGAAATAGATTCGTGTAATAAATACGCGATTCGCAGCGGATTGAAGAGGGAGAGAAACCGAGTCGTTATAGAGGGCCGGATACTCGGGGGATAACATGATTAAGCGTCGTCCCTTAATAAATCTCCCGCAGACCCTCGTTGATGAAATTACGACAGACGAGTCGGCGTCACTGACACACGGCTGTCTGTTATAATCATTATTTCACCCGGTAGTTATGTGCAACATTCACGAGAGCCATGAGAAGTGAACTTTCTCAGGGTCTCTTTCTCACACACACATGCGCGCGCGCGCGCGCGCACACGCTCACGCTGATTTCGTTCATCACACCGACCCGACTCTTCCGGAGCTCGCGTTTTGGACATTTTCCCGTCAAGTTCTTCACTCTCCCGGATATTCCGCTGCAGCTGCCGGCCTAGCGATTTATGTCGCGCCAGTGTCAATGATACCGAGCGGCCCGCTCGTTCGTGTAAAAAGCACACCGGTTACACGTCTCGTGTATCGCTGGAGCGCGGCTCGCCGTATCAGCCGTCTTCCAGCAGCTTCGCCTGCCGACCGAGTCGTCCATCGGCCGCGGAAGGATCGCGAAGGAAATATCGACGTGGCTCGATAAAGCTCGGCACAACGGCGCGTACACATCCCGGAACTGGCGATGAAAGCAACGGCCGGCGCCGCAGGCCGAGCGGAAAGTTGCCGCGATTCGTCACGTATCAATGTTATCGCGAAGTTGGCGAGCGCAAAAATGTTAATCCCGTCGCGATTTATCAGCGGGATTAAAACGGCTCGCGCGGCCGGGCGCAACCGGGCCGAAAACGTTGCCGCGTTCGCGAGCAACTCGGCCGCGGCTTTTGTGGACTGACCAGCCGGTTAATCCGCGACGAGGGTCTTCGGGCGCGAGACCGGCCACCCCGGTGTGCTGTTCCTGAATCAAACAGCGCTGAATTTCGCGCGTAGAGGAAGAAGAAAAGACCGCTCGACGATCGACCGAAGCGAGTTTGCGGAATTTTTGCCGTCTTCGCCGACGAAAACGCGCCCGCGGAGCGCTCGAAACGAAAGACTCTCCTCCGTGCGAGCGAGTTGCGCAACGACTCACCGCGACTCAGCTTCGACGAGATACGTCGAAGGTATTGCGAAAATTTGAGTGGCGGTCGCGCGAAGAGCCGTCTCAACGGTCTCGCTTCGCGGGAAGGAGCGCGCGCTGAAGAGCGCAATCGATGCAAAACGCCGTGGCGATCAAACGCTCGACTCGTTGCCCGCGCTTTTGGATTTAATCCGCCGGCTTTGCCGCGAGTCAGAGCTGAAATTCCGCGGATTACGAAGATTCGCGTGCGTGCGTGCGTGCGTGCGTGCGTGCGTGTGCTCGCACCATTTTGCAATGAATATTTAATACGTTATGTCAGAACACACACACAGCACTCGCTATTTAACCAAGCGTTACCTTTGGCTCGGTCAAACACGACCGAATTGCGCGCGCGGCGTAAGTAATATTCTATCCGGTAAATATGCACGCGCGTAAGTGACGACCGGTTCCGGGCTAATATTCAACATGGCATACGCATAATGCTGTGTCCACGCCCGAAGGAAGTGGCATTTCCGGCCTTCGCAGTATCGCTCCACCGTGCGCGTTATAACGCCGGCGTCGATGGAAAAGTGCCAGGTAATAAGCGAGCCGTGTCTTTGCGCGCGCGCGCAAGTGCCATGGATTCGCATTGAAATCCCGCAGAATCGATCGGGGAACGAAGCGACGCGTTGCAGATTTTCCGGCCAATCTCTCAAGTCGATTCTCCCCCTCGGCGAAGACGCCGCGGACAGCGTCGAGCGTCGTCGATGGCGTCGCGCGCTGGCATATCGTTAACAATCGTGGAAATGAAAAAGCTGCTATTGCTCGCGCGGCTGATTTTGCGCGAACTCGGCGAGAATTGCCGATCGGAGCCTCATCGGGAAGACGAACGTCGAAGCACTTTGGGGAGCCGCGCGCGCGAGACGGACGTTGACGTCTCCCCGACATTTGCATTCGCGAAGCGATCGGTCTCGAGTCTCGCGAACGCGCTTGACGCGTCTGCGTCTCTCGAGGCGTCTACTCGATAAATTGCGAGTTGGGAATCGCCGCGCGAGAAACTTTTGTTTCCTGCGTCTCGCCGACGCGACGTGCGCGCAGCGGCATGGCCGAGTCTTGTTGGGAAATCCCGTGAAAGCTTTGAGGCCGGCCGCGGGGTCGAATGGCCGGACAATGGCGCGGAGATTTTTCGATAAAGCGCGGGACACACGATTTTAATCGCAGAGAGGCAGGGCCGAGAGTTCGCGCCGCGGCCATGTACCTATGCAAATCTCCGCGCTTCAGCCTTAACTCTCGATGAGGAAAGTTGCAAAATATGCTTCTGTGCGCCGAAGTACCGCCGCCGCGACGACGACGGCCCCTTTGTCGCCCTCCCAATTTAAATACGCGGACTAAACTGCCGATCGGCCAGATGCGCCCACGATGCGAGCCTTTACCGAGCCTTGCCGGCGTCGAATGTTCATTATGCGCGGAGATAAGTCACGGACATCGACGTGAGAACATCTCTCGACCGAGTGTGAACTGTTTACTCAGCCAGAGCGGGGCGCCCGAAACTCTCTCTTTCTCTCTCTCTCTCTCTCACTCTCACTCTCTCTCTTTTTCTCTTTACCGCGAATCGGACCGTGGAATGCTCCGTCCGGATATTTTTACGGCAATTCTTCATGGTCGATGGTGACGAGGCGTATGTAACGTAATAATTACAACGTAACACGGTCGTCGATTCTTTCTTGCCCCTCCCCGACTTCCGATTACTTCTCTCTTGGAGTCATCTTTCTTTCGAGTGCGAGGATATCGTGAGATATGACCTCCGGCGCGAGGTTAGCAGAATTGCGACGGATAAGACGGCGAATAAAATGCAAAGCTGCAGTCTATCGTCAGCTTTTGCCTCAGCCAGCGATTATCGGCGGAAAGAAAAGTGACAACGTAGCGCGAGAGCGAGAGAGGGTGCACGATGAGAGCGGGAGATAATAATGCGACAGTGTACGTATCGCGTCGATTCTCTGTTCGCAGTCGTGGTACGATTACAAGTTGAAATGGGATCCAAAGGAGTACGGTGGGGTGGAGATGCTGCACGTGCCATCGGATCACATATGGAGGCCCGATATAGTTTTATACAACAAGTAAGGCAACAATTGACGCCGTTGATTCTGTCTATTTTGTCTACGAGGGCAGTCTGAAAAGTTCTCGGCCTAGCGATGCAGGAAAATTCTTTCGCCGTGAAATATGTTTTATCTTTCAATATAATCTCTTGAGACTTCAATACATTTATCCCAACGTCTTTCCAATAATTCAATACCATCATTAGAGTGTGATTCCGGAAGGTTCTTTTTGGCTCTGGTATATAGCGGTGGATTCAAGTTTCATCAATAGTTATGAAAGGACGCTTGAAATCCATTTTAGTTTGCTTAAAACGATTAAAATGTGCCAAACGCGCATTCGAATGCGTTTCTGGTCAATCGTTAGCAAATGCGCGGCACCCATCTCGCACAAAGCTTTTTCAACCGGTGCTACTACTCGAACGATACTTGGCAGATCGAATAAAATTTTACACCAGGGTTTATATCAGGGATACCACTTTCCAATACAATTATAGTTTGACAATTTCTAATGCCATGTATGTGTCAGGTCGAGAACTTTTCAGACTGCCTACGTATGTGCGTGCGTGTGTGTGTGTGTGTGTGTGTGTGTGTGTATGTATGTGCTATGTGAACTCTCAAGCGCGTGACAGGACTCGCGAGTGACGGTTCACGTGTTCGACAGCGCCGACGGCAATTTCGAGGTGACGCTGGCGACGAAGGCGACTTTGAACTACACGGGTAGGGTCGAGTGGAAGCCGCCGGCGATTTACAAGTCTTCCTGCGAGATCGACGTCGAATATTTTCCTTTCGACGAGCAGACGTGCGTGATGAAGTTCGGCTCGTGGACTTACGACGGCTTCCAGGTGAGAACCGCCTATCGTTATCACTCCCATGTCCCAGGAAGATTCCCGCCTTCTCTCTTTAGACTCTCTTTAGACGGGAATGCAAGTCGAGAGGTGATCCTTGCCACTTTGGCAGCCTCGTCTTACAAACAAATGAGGAAACTGATCCTTCCACCTGTCTATGAAAACTGTCGTATCGCTCTGAGAACACTTCGGCCTCGGCCTCTTGTTTCGTCTGCGGATTCTTATCTTCGCGAGCCGATAATTTGACGACGCGGCGATCGGTGGGAGCTTCTTCTCGATCTGGAGCAAACAATAGCTCGGCTCCATCAATCCCGAGACGCTCGAAGATCGTGTTTCATTGGGACAAGAAATGAAATCGCGAATTAATTGACGTGCCGTTGCTCCGCCTGTTATTTGCACGGAGGAGCAAACACGAGCTTGAAATGTTTGATTTGGCGAGGCCGGCGCGACGTGTTCTCGGTGTTTTCTTGTCCAAGAAAACGGCCATAATCCTGAAAATAGCGCTCGTGACTTCCGCGGCACGTTACGACGCGCATTAGCGCCGCCGATCGTTAGACATCGTCCGCTGGAAGATCCAGTTGCTTGTTATCTTTTTATTTTATCGGGCGAAATGTCGCTTGTTAGAGACGAACGCGCGCGGCCTCGCCGATCGAATATGAACGGCGAGACGCCGCGCAGTTGATAAGGCGGCCGAGGGGGAATCGGCTGACCTACATATTAAATGTTATTTGAAAACCCCTCGAGTGTCTCCTCGCGATATTTCGCCCCGGCTCTTCTTACTTTTTGCAACCGCGCGTGCGGTTTTCTCACCTTATGCAGCGCCGAGCGCGCGGCTCCGTTCCGATCGCGCGCGCGCGACCTTAAGCCCGTGTCACACACTACGGATTGAAGATCAAGGATTGCGGATTGAAGATTGAAATGTGATCAATCGGAATAAAGCAAATCAAAGCCGGAGTTCCTTGATCTCGTCGAAATCTAATCTTCAATCCGCGATCCTTGATCTTCGATCCGCAGTGTGGTGACACGGGCTTTACGCCGCAGAGAGAGAGAGAAAGAGAGAGCGAACGTGACAGGAGTCCGTCGCTCGTCTCGGGCGCTCGGCGGCGCGATACCGCGACGATGCATTGTAAATTTTAGTAATTTGCTGTTACAAGGTCGATCTTAGACACATCGACGAGGTCCGAGGCAGCAATGTCGTCGACATCGGCGTCGATCTGTCGGAGTTTTATACTTCCGTCGAGTGGGACATACTAGAGGTCCCTGCTGTAAGGTACGCCATTGTTACACGTCCGTAGATCCTTAGCGGATCCTCCTCGAGCACTCGATATCTCTCGCGCTCGGCTATCCGAAGAGCGGACCAGACAAGTCCTCCGGCAAGTCACAGGCTATGTGGGGAGCTCCGGCTCCCCCTATCGCGTTTCAGTCGTTAATTCTTAAGCGAGTTCAGTTTCATCGCGCCTTTCGTTACGACTCCTTTCTCTCCGGCGGCAGACGCGAAGGTGCATTAGTAATAAGCCCCTTGATAAATAGCCTGAACACACACGTGAAAGACTCCTCGGCTTCGGCTCGGGATCGTACAGCTTGCCGAGAAATCGCACGAGGCGCGACCGACGCGATTAACGCAGGTCGTTGAACATAAGGCCGGATTCTCACTGTCCGTCCGGGCAACGTCGGACAGAACGTCTTCCATCAAATACTTTTCTTTCCGAATATAATTCCGATTGAGGCGTGACGAAAGTGTCGTTGAGGAGCGCTTTTAACGGGGGATCCGCCGACGCCTAGACGCGGATAGCGAGAATCCGACATGTATCGAGTGCGGATGCGCGTGTTGCAGAAACGAAAAGTTTTACACGTGTTGTGACGAGCCTTACCTCGACATCACCTTCAACATCACCATGAGACGGAAGACTCTGTTCTACACCGTCAACCTCATAATACCGTGCATGGGGATATCCTTCCTCACGGTGTTGGTGTTTTACCTGCCAAGCGACAGCGGCGAGAAGGTAACCGAGTCACACACACCACACACACACACACACACACGTTGACCGTTCAATCGATCTCAGAATCCTCCTCTCTTATCTTTTCCTTCGCACTTTGCGACGTACGCTTCAGTTCGCCGCGCCTTTCGTTGTGAATTCTTTTCCTTCGGTAAGTCGCGAAGCTTGCATGGGCAGAGCCCGTCTGTGAAATTGAATGAAACAAACAACGACCTTTTCGTCGGCGTCGCGACTTTGAATATCCTCGGCTAGTTTCTCATCGAGAGAGAGAGAGAGAGAGAGAGAGAGAGAGAGAGAGAGAGAGAGAGAGAGAGAGAGAAAGGAAGTGAGAACGAGAAATTAATGTTCGGAGGATCGCGAAGATTTCGCGAGGATCAGACTGGAGCGATGGGACTCGCACGTCGCCGTGCTCTAATTCGCGATCGATGTCGCGTCTTTAAATGCCCCCGGAGCTTTTGCCTCGCGGCGACATAGACAGAAATTAATTTTGCAGGCGCAAAGGTTTCGCTCGATTAGATCAGAATAGGGAACGGTACAGCCGGTCGCGCGCCATTACAGTTTAATTCGCGATCGATCTTTTCGCCGATGTTGTGTCTTTAAGCGCCACGTAAGACACTTGACCTCGAGCACCGATATCCACTTACCGGCTTACATAATTCAGACATATTGTTCCGCTTTGTCGCCGCGAAGGCGCAAGGATACGGGGGGAGGACGGGAGGAGGATCGAGGCGAGCCGATAGGAAAAGGGAAGAAAAGGTCAAATGTCAGAGTGCCGGTCGTTTAGCAATCGGCGAATACGCAATGAGGATACGGAATCGGGCGGGTTGGGAGGGGCGGGAGGGCGACGGGGGAAAGAGGATCGAGCGGGAGAGCACCTTCGACGTTCTCGCGCGACGTGCTCAGCGCTCAGGATCAATGCGGAAGGACAGAGAGACAATACCCTCTCCAATCGGCCTCGATGCACTCCCAAGGTGCATAAGCCGTATACATGCATCCCGCGTATATTTCGCCGTCGTTGCGGCGGATTTGCAGCTGGAGGCGCGTCCCGTGTACTTTACGCGTTGCGCGACGAGAAAGAGAAGAAAAAAGAAAAAAGGGGGGGGGGGGGAACAGAACGGAAATGAAATTAAAACCGTTCAGGACACTCCCCCGCGCGCACCTTTCTTTAATGCAATCTTCTCGAGTAACGTTTAATGTTTCTGTGTCTCGTGTTCCCTTTTCCTTGCGACCAAAATTGTTGGCATTTCAGGTAATGAGTCTCTCAAATCTCTTCTCCCCTTTGCGCCTTCTTTCTCTCGAATAAGGCGAGACGGTAGAGTGTAGAAATTGTCGAAAATATTTGCGCGGTGTTTGTGCGTTTATACACACATGATTGATTTTCCACACTTTTTACGTTCTACGTTGCCTTGTTTACGAGCACCTTGTTAAAGCACGAAGGAGTTTACATCAGACATATATATATATATATATATATATTGGGTGTGTGAATATGACTCCGCCCTTTCCCAACAGATGTTGCTTTTAGTATTGTGAACGTGTACTAATAACTGGCATAGTACTTCATGTCAACTTTCAAACGCACTACGTGAAATTTGATTTAAGTGTAAGCAACAAGTGTTTAACCCTACTTGAAAACGTCGGTTTTCGTTCCAAACAAACATCATTTGCGGGAAGTATTATTACACTATTTTATTGCGAAGAAAAGCGCAGCGGAAACTTATCGTTTGCTTGTGGAGATTTACGGTGATCATGCTCCATCTGATACAACTTGTAAGGAATGGTTTCGACGATTTCAAGATAATGATTTTGGAACTGAGGACAGAGAACATGGGAAACCACCAAAAAAATTTGAAGATGCTGAATTGGAAGCATCTTCATTGACAGAGGATTGTTGCCAAACTCAATCCGAATGCGTTTGAAGCGAGCCATAGAAGGAAAACGGCCAGAATGGGTGAATAGGCACAGCAAATTAATTCTTCAGCATGATAATGCCGAACCGCATACCGCAGAAGTCGTGAAAAGATATTTAGATGGACAGGACTGGGAAGTGCTACTCCAGCCGCCATATTCGCTCCAGACATAGCTCCTTCAGATTACTACTTATTCCGGACGATGCAGTCAGATCTTACGGGAGAACGGTTCGCTTCATACGAAAGTATCAAAATTTGGCTTGATAATTGGATCAGCTCAAAAGACCAGGACTTCTTCGGGCAAGGAATAAAGGATAAATTACCTGAAAGATGGGCGAAGGTTGTAGCTGCAGATGGAGCATACTTTCAATAAACTTTTCTTTAATTTTCTAAACAAGCAAATGTGTTTCATTTTAACAAAAAAGGGCGGAGTCATATTCACACACCCAATATATATAAAGTCTTTGAAATAATATATAGATCCAAGGGTCGAAGAAGTAAATTCCCCGGGACGGGAAGGTTTGAGCAATCGCGTTGAATCAGTCCTTTCTTGCACCCCCCGGCTAGTATAAGACTTGGGTCTATATATCGATATATGCGAGCGTATCCTGTATAAGTAATGTGACTGTACCGTCGTATCAAGCAGACCCTTTTTTTCTCGGCCCTTCTACCGCAGGTCAGCCTATCCATTTCGATTTTATTGTCGCTGACTGTGTTCTTCCTCTTGCTGGCCGAGATCATCCCGCCCACGTCGCTCGTGGTACCGCTCCTCGGTAAATTCGTCCTCTTCACCATGATCCTCGACACCTTCAGGTACGGTAAATAACGATATAGTAGTATCGCAGGATGCGATCACGTAGCGAGCGCGTAAGTCTCTACCGAGCTGGCTCAGCCATTTCGCACGTGGAAATTTCACGCTCCTCTCTCCCGCGGAAATTTACTCCGCTGCTGCCCGTTCGCGCGCTCGTCGCTCGTCGCTCGCGCGGAGTCGACGCCGGTCATTCTAGCGTCCGGGTGGCTGCGCCAGCTCGGAATTTAATATATTCCGTCGGCATCGCGAGGTCATCTCTCCCAGGCTCCCGCAGAGTCACCGCCAGTTCGGAGTTTCGTTACGCCGCGCGGCGGGAGAGAAAGCGAATGATCGGCCGGACAACCGGCTCGGTCAACAGTATCCTCTCTCTCTCTCTCTTTCTCTCTCTCTCTCTCTCTCTCTCTCTCTCTCTCCTCCTCTCTCTCCCTCTCTCCCTCTCTCTCTCTCTCTCTCTCGCCGAAGCAAAGGTAGGACGTGATTCGATTCGAGCGCGTCGGGAAGGAGCGTGGTGACCTCACGATGCCGCGCGTATCCAGATCCTGATCCCGACCTCGTCGAGGATCCAAACAGCCCGGCGGTCTTGCCACCTCTCCAGATGGAACGAACTCCGTCTGCAAACTTCCCGTTTGTTCGGCTTGCATTGCAGTATATGCGTAACAGTGGTGGTCCTCAACGTTCACTTCCGTTCGCCGCAGACCCACGTGATGGCGCCGTGGATCCGACGCGTGTTCATCCACGTTCTGCCGCGACTGCTGGTAATGCGCAGGTATAATACGCCATCGCAGAGAACCGATTACGATTCCAGGCAAGATATATACGTACACTCTTCCGGCGTCTAGCCCGGTCATTGGAATCACGCCAGCGGGCATTCAAGCACTCATTAGCGTCTTCCCTGTGCACGTGACGCGTTAGTGTCGCGTCATACCTGCAAGCATTAGCACTCTGCCTGCTCCCTCCTCCCTTTCTCCCCGACTCCCAGTTCCATCAGCGATCCGTGAGCCGTCGATCATTAGCCGCGCGCGTCTCTCACACCCTCGCTCCGTCGTCGTGAAAATAAAATCTCCTGATCCCCCGAGCGCGCGTCGTTCGTGTATCGATTGGCCGGCGGCGAAATATTCGTCGTTTATTTCAATCGCAGCTCGCAGCTCTGAGTCTCGCGGACGACTCGCGAACACAGTCGGACGAACGAACGGAGAGCGAACGGAGCTCGCGAGCATGCACGGCGAGGAATAAGCCGAGTACATGTTGAAAGCCGCGGCGTTAAGGCGGCTTCGACGGGTAAAATCGAGACCGAGCCGAGTGTGATGGCTTTTCGAGCGGTGACCGTGTGTTTTTTCACTCGTTTTATTTTATGACGCATCGCGCCAGCGGCTGGCTGTTGTTCAACCGTGGCTGTGCAACTTCCGTAGAGCCGTTTCTCCCACGTCACTCGACTGTATACTCGGCGTGTAGCGAAACACCCGCGGAACTTGGCGGAGACTAGAAATTAGGAGCATGTGCAGTAGTCGCGACTCGGTGTGTGTGTTCTCGGTGCCGCGATTTCCATGAATCTCGCCTCACCGCGCGCCGATCCAGCTCGCTCTCTCAAGTTTAGATGGACCATGGACACGCGATATCAGTCCTCGGCGAGTTCTGTTAGTTCTTTGCTTCAGTTAGTGCGCAGAGGAGCACCGAGAGAGAGAGAGAGAGAGAGAGAGAGAGAGGGAGACGAGCGAGGGCTTCGGAATTATGAACATCTGAAAACAAACGTAGAGAAATGGAAGCGTTTAAAAATACCGAGGGAAACGGAGAGAAGCGGAGAAGGAGAACGAAAGAATGTCTAAGAAGAGAGACAAACGAGGCGTATGATCGAAAGAACTCGTGAATCCAATTATGATGATGAGAGGACGCGCAGGATATTCGCGTTTCTCGTTGGCCTTTTTAGCCGAACCGGATTGTATTTTTGCCTTTAGAGCGAATAACTTAGCGTCGAGGGGAAGGAAAAGGAAGAAAGTTTCGGGTGCGGCACTAGTTTCCGGTTAAAAAGAAGGAGGAGAATTGAAAAGAGACGAAGGCTCGTGCGTAAAGCGCTGGCGCAATCTGGGCGTACTTGTGCGCACGTCGAATCTCGCTCGCGGTGTGTACTCGCGACGTTCCTTCATAATTCCGGAGTCAGGCCTGATTAGGCGGGGGAAAAGGCCGAATCCTCTCGGCTCTCTCGAGGTGAACGCGCGCCGTGTTTTCGCAACAATACCGTTTCCATTTCAGGCCGCAGTACCGGATAGACAGGCGTAGCATGGCCGGGCATCATGGGCATCGCGTGATGGTCCGAACATGCAACGGTCTCGAATTGCGAGACCCATCACTGTTCGTCGAGACGTCGGCCTCGGAGCTGGTCGAGTCGTCTGTACTTTTTCCTAGTGTCGATTCACGGGACGAGCTGCAGCCTCGGTGTGTGTCTCCACCTAAAATATATTCGGGATGTCGGAAAGTTTTTTTCGTTTTTCCCGTGTTTTTCACTCGGTTCAAACGCTGCCAAACGCTTCCAAGAGTAAGTTCGATCTCGATGAAAGCTGATGTGCGCAATAAATATTATTAACAATGAGAACTCGTACTACCGTAACCACGGGGAATCGAAGGCTTTGAAAGACTTTCCGGTAGCCCTAATATTTACCGTAACCGCTAAGACCTGTGTACCTCTCGCAAGGTACGGAACACTGCATGCGCGACGCTTAATTGATCATCACTAGAGATATGCGTATCAAGGAGATTTTTATGTCGAATCGAATCGAATCGAGTCTCATTTTTTTTTAATTTGAATTCGAATCGAATCGAATCTCATTTTTTAAATTCGAATTCGAATCGAATCGAATCATTAAAAAATTTAACATGACTATTAAACATGCAAATAATGATGGAAGCTTTTGAATATGAAAGGGAATATTGACATTGTAATATCATCTTAAAGTAAAATACATATTTATTTAAATAATTGAAATAATTTATAATTGGGTCATTAATTATAAGTTAAGTTAACTACAAGTTAAGGGTTCAAACGTGCACAGGCCCAGATGGCCCGTTTTGTAGCTGTGATGCGCGCAAACGATAATGCATTTGATTCCTATTCGGATTATAGGGATTCGGATTCGAATAGAATTGAATTACATTAGATTCGATCCGATTCGATTCGAATTCGAATAGTTCGCACATCTCTAATCATCACAAAGCTCGAATCTCCGTACGATGAACGTCGCATCGCGTCGCTTTACGATTTTCTCTTTATTTTGTATATTCATGCGGTGTATATATGTGTGTAACACACGCACGTAAATTTCCTTGCGGAAAAAAACATTTTGCATATCCAACCGTCGATGTTGTGTATTGCATATTTTATAGATTGGACCCGCGATGTCCGATTGCGTCTGTGCGCGCGTCTGAAAGTGAATCAACATAGATTTTTCCCTTTTCCACGGAATTGCGCGCACAGTCGCATCAACGTCCGCAACTGAGACAATTGCATCGGAGGCTCAATCGCCAGGAGATTCTTATTCGGACGGACGTGCTTCTCTTTCCCTCTCTTTGTTTTCATAACACCGCTTCTCCTTTTCATAACTTCGCTTCTCCTCCCCTTCGGTCTCTCTTTAGGACGCCTCTCTCTCTCTCTCTCTCTCTCTCTCTCTCTCTCTCTCTCTCTCTCTCTCTCTCTCTCTCTCTCTCTCTCTCTCTCTCTCCTCTCTCTCTCTCTCTCTCTCTCTCTCTCTAAGCCACCGGGCGTGTCATCTCATTTTGCAACTTTGCATATCGTCTGTTCAGGGAATTGGGAGCGGTAAATCTAGGGAGCACGTGCCAGATCCACGGTTCGCCCGCGGCGACGGCCACCGCGCCGCCGCCGCCGCAGCTCCCGACGGAGGAGAGCGTTGACGCTCTCTGCAACACGCTTCATCATTGGCATCACTGCCCAGAACTGTACAAGGCCATCGAAGGCATCCGCTTCATCGCCGATCACACGAAGAGGGAAGAGGATTCCACTAGAGTAATTATGATTACAAACACACACACACATACACACACATACATACCGTCTGCGCGAAGGAGTTCATGTCTGACGGGAGAGAGTCTCGGGAGAGAGCACTCGCTATAGATCAGCTTTGCGCGTTCGGATATTTTTGCACAATTTTCATTACGCATCGCATGCACGCCATTTCGCTAGCGGGAAGACAACGGCCGTTTCAGCGCCGTGCGGCGCTTTAGCTTCAATGGCAAATGAGCTTTCGAGCATTAGCCAATTCCCCGCGCTCTTTATCTCGCTTTATTCACCGACCACCACTCGCGCTGCAGGTCAAAGAGGACTGGAAGTACGTCGCGATGGTGCTCGACAGACTATTCCTCTGTATCTTCACACTAGCCGTGATCGTCGGCACAGCCGGGATTATACTGCAAGCGCCTACCCTGTACGACGATCGCATCCCCATCGACGTACGGCTCTCCGAGATCGCCTCCACCACTGCCAAGCCACACATCGTCACGAGCCTCTGAGGGACAATTACTAATTACGTTATCGTCACGCACGTACGTGCATGCGTGCGTGCGTGCGTGCGTGCGTGCGTGCGTGCGTGGGTGCGTTCGCGCGAGACAGCGCGTGAACACGTCGTCAACAGCAACACATACGAGCACGTATACGCGACCTGCAACAAGCGATTACTTAACGTATTAACGTCCGAAAGACTGAAGCCTCGCTGAGTCTTCGACCTTTGCGCAAATGTGCGAGCCGCGTACGCGCGCGGCTCGCATGGCCGCTGGCGAACGAAGAATTCTTATTGTTGAGACAATACGCCAAACAATACAGCGCTGCGCAGCGCGCGGCGCAACGTCAGCGTTAACGAGCGCGCGATCTCGTCCTCGCCGGCGGAACGACCGGCGGCGAATCGATCCTAGAATGTATAACGTGCTCCTTGAAAGGCTTTGTGAGCTCGCTGAGATATTTGTGTTTTCTTTCCGCGAGATATATATATATATATATATATATTTCGTCGTTCCTCCGATTAAATCTTCTCCTTTCCTCGGCTGATCTTCAGTGAGAGAGAAAGAGAGAAAGAGGGAGCCGTCCCTCTCTCGCGCCGACGCTTTCGACGGAGAAATTTAACGAAGTCATTTATTTCCCCGCTACTTGAATTTTTACAAACTTGCGCCTCTCCCCGCTGAGGAGCACCCTGCTGCATCCTGAGATTAAAATGAGCTTGGTAACGATTCATTTTGCGTAATCGCCAACTCCCCGCGATCCCCGCGAATTGGCTTCGAGAGCGCTGTTGAATTCCTTTCCGATCGATCCTGTCGATGTAGCCGTACTGTTGTTTGCAAAGAGAGAAATGCGCTCGTACAGATGCGTTAATTGATTATGATCTGGAGGAGCACACAGGTGAGGGAGGAGGAGAAGGAGGAGACGCGAGACTGCTTCACGGAGATTCACAATCATATTCGTGCGTTGGCTTTTGTCGTCTTGCTAAGAATTCTCGAACTACAGCGGGAGATGAGCTTTCCGCGCAAACGTATAGAAGGAAGTAAAAGGGCGAAAGAATATCACGATGAAAAGAAAAAAAAAGCATAATACGTCTCAACCACTTGCACGTTGATCGCGTTTGATTCCGTGTAGCACGTGAAAGGAGTAAGAAGAAGTAAGAAGAAGTTCATAACGTATAGGTAATACAATAATCCGATGAATGCGAGGTGGATCTTCTTGTTTCTCGAATCAGACAGGAGAGCGCCATCCAAATTGCGCACCTGGCCGGTGATATGTGATTCTATTTTCCGCGCGCGTTGTGCGCTGCAGTTGAATTCTTTTCGACGTATATTCGAGACGGCATATACTTTTACACTAAACTAGAATTTTTGATATACGTTGCTCGCGGATGCGGGATGTTTCGGGATTATAATCGAAGACCCAACTGGCCGACAGAACTCGCAGAAACAACAGACAGATTGCACGTAACACGAGCCAAGTTAGACCAATTATCGCAAGAGTTGCTGCTTCCGCGCGAGAGCGCGGATTTTCGCTTCAGTCCGAAGACGATCGATGCTCTCCGTCAGAGTGATCTAACTCGTCATCGATCAATCCCGACTCCGAGGAGAAACGATTACACGCCAGTCACAAACGCGCGATAGTCTCAGCTTTCCAATCACCACTCGCTCAAGCATCCACGACCGCTGCAAGTCCAATTATCGACCGCTGTATCGACCGCCGCGCTCTCGATCAGCCCGACGCTCATCAGCGCGCCGACTCACAATGGCGACTCGTCGAGGTTCCGCTTTGCGCAAGCGTGCGACATTCCGTCACGTACGCGTTTACGCAAGAATGGAACGCGGCCTTGCCCCCACTCCCGAGCCGCGTCAGCTGGCCGCTTCAGCACGTGGTCATTCATGTGGCTGAAGCGCGGCCGGTGCGCGCATGCGCGCGAGGTGCTTATCGCGCCGGCACATGGCGTTCGTTGCAGCGGAACGAGCGTGCCGACACGCTCTCTTCGAAATGTCGCGATCGAGTCGACGCAAAAACAAATCGAGTCGGGGCAAGATACGGCTTTAACCCTCCATTGCCCTCGTTTAAAAAAACGAATCTTAGTTTTCTCGTGTTAAAAAAATTGTATTAACATAATTCAGAAAATAACTATACAGATATAATCTAAATGGTTATAAGTAAAATGTCAGAAAGTTTCAGAGTCAACTTTTATGCCACATCTAAGTAATTAAAGAAGAAAGAAGTGTAAACTGAGCGTTTGCCTCATACGAGGGCGATGAAGGGTTAAAGAAAATCAACCTCAACCAAGTGTGATAGATTTAAGCCTGGAAATTGCCCGCGCGCGCGCGATTCACCCTCTGTCGTTCGCGACGAAACGCGCGTTCTTCGCGCGTGTATTTCCGGCTGCTTTCGCCAGCCAGTCGGGTCTTCTGCAATTGTAATTCCGAGACATCCTCGCCGTACTCCGGATCGCCGATCCGGTTAATAGTCTCGAAAATTGCAATCGTTTTGATTGGGCTGTATCGTTATCAGTCGCGCATGTACTAACAGACGTGGCGGCGATCGTGCGGTTGGATTCGAGCGATAAGAGGAGCCCGCTTATCGTCACCGGGTTTCAGATGCGGCCTGTTTCGCGACTAGGGAAAATATAATGAAGTTTAATAAAGAAAATGAATATATAGTAGGTAATGGGAGGACGAAACACGTATATACTAATAGAGTTAATTCAGAAAGATCTTAACAGTGCGATTTCGTGCCAGTTGCATTCGTGGCTCTCCCTCGGGCAGGCTAGGTAGACGGTAATGTTTATCGACGCAACGCGCGTTATCCTATCCAGACTCTGCATGTTAAAATCCCTCTCCGATCCCACCCTCCCCGTCTCTTCCGAGCAGCGAATAAACAACAGCTCGATATTGTCGAAACGTTCACCACCACCACCACCACCACCACCCCGCGTTCGAAACGGAAGTTTAGACGTTAGGACCATTTTTTTCGCACGGAAGGATGCGTTCGTGCGGATTTACCGAGGAAAAAGCAAGGTAGAGCATGGAGAGAAAGAGAGAAAGAATACGGACGGAAGGAGAAACTTGCCGACGCGAGGATGCAAGTGGCGCGAAGTTGTACGAAGCCTGTTGCAGACTCAGGAACAAAATAAAAATGTGGAATACTACGATTTCCCAACACTACATCGAGCCTGTAACAATGGGGCCATATTTTCACAAAGAACGAAAGTGCGTGTTCTCTCGTAAGAAAAAAAAAAAAAAACTTAAATAAAATAAAAAGTGAAATATTCTAAATATCTGCATCGATTACACGACGCAGAGGTACAGGTTGGGCCTAAAGTGTGAGGAAGTTTAGAGGACTCAACTTTTATTGCTCATAATGTGTATATGTTTGTAATAAGGGTATAACTTTCGTAATTGTGTATTCGTTCAAGCGCCGCGCACCGACCCATCGATCGAACGAACGAACAAAGGACCGACCGACCGACCGACCGACCGACCGACCGACCGACCGATCCGACCAGACGCGTGCGTTTATTATTGACGAATTTTAACAGAGCGCATAATATATACACACATACGAGGACGAATCGTTTAAGTGGCGTTACCATGATTTGTTGTCTTCCTACCGGGTACCGTTAAATTCCGAATTCATTTCACCAACGACGGCGGTGCGTCGCCGTTCTTGCCAAAAGGAGGAAAAAAAGATGAGGAAAAGAAAAATATATAAGACAAAACGTAACGAGTACTACGATCGATAATTTTAATTAGCGAGATGAAACATAATTAATCGGTGACCATGAGGTGTAGTTTCGATCGTCGTTTGATACTTTGTACGTTTCGATATAATTTAGTATGAAAAGAAAGACTTCTTAGATTGTATCGGCGCGATTAAATAAATTTCATTGTGGATAGATGATTTACCGACGATGGACGTAATTTGTAAGAGTTTTATTAACCCTGCAAATATGTGCGTGATGTATTATTTTGAAATCGAAATACAATGATTTTGTCGATAAACGACACGGCATACGTATATAATTCAATCGTCATTTGTAAATTATATCCCGAGACGCAACGAGAACGTCGCTCCGAAGTCTTCTCGCAGTCTCGCGATGCTATCGAGGTAATAAAAAAAAAAAAAAAGAAAAAATGGAGAAAAAGAAAAAAAAACAAACGTGCGCATACAAAATCTCACATACACGAGTGTCTTTTGCTGGGTAACAATTAACAAATTCAACGAGAAAGCGCCATCACTTATCCCGGCCCGGCGCTTTTTCACCATTTTCACAAAGTTTGCACGACGATGGTTCGTTGAAAAGCGAATCTCTCACGAGTCTCTTAGCCGGGACCCTTTTTCGCTTTGTTCTAACGAACAGTGTATGCGTGAGAGAGATCAATGAGAACGGCGTGTCGCAAGCGCAGTGATAGTTAAAGGCAAGTCGCATCCCTCTGACACACGGTATACATCCGTAAGCATACCAACAAAATCTCCGTACACACACACACACACACACACACACACACACACACACACACACACACACACACACACACACACACACACACACACACACACACACGCACGCACGCACGCACGCACACACACGCACACGACATGAAGTAATATAACGAGATATTTTGTGAGTGTGTCTATAAGATCGATTAAACTTATCTAACGAATGAGATACGTTGTCTTCATTTGCGTTGTGCATTTATCAAAAACAGTTGAAACGCATGTAACGGAATATTCTTGCGTCGCTCACGAGCGAAAGACAACGTACCCGCGCGCGTTCAGATCGTGACACGCGACTTAAATAATCGGTTCTCTTCGCCGCCGAGCAGAGAAGAGCGGAACCGACACGTCACCTCAGAGGAGGATGCCCGAGTTTCGTCCGACACCTTCGAGAGACTCGCGCGTAAATTGAGAGACGTCTCCGGCGCGTTACCGCCGAAATTGCCGCGAGAATTCCGCGGCGCTTAACAATGCACGGCGTAAGCAACTCGTTCCTTTTATACACTCTCTATCCACTGCCACGTGAGCGAATATAATGCCTGCCTGTCTCGAGAGCTCATTGTCCCTCGCAAATTAGTGACAACGCCGAAGCGTGACACATGAGAGCTCTCATAATATGCAAACGTATTTCGTAATTAATAACACAGGCTTACGTATCTCTCATTTATGTAGCTCGAGGAACGCGACTCCGCCGCTTCGAGGACTCACGTAAAATCGTATTGCACAGAGAAATATGTGTTCGATTCGCATAAAAGCGCCACCTCTACGAACGTATTATCGCATTACGCCTATAATGTCATGACTAGCGTAACCATTAAGTGCTTTAGGTTGTGTCAAAGATTAACATGGTGATGCACAACGATGTGCCCTAACAGCAGTCTCGAAGAAACGCGCGTTAACTCGACTGCAGTGTCGCCGGGGCGTCTAGTTAATTGCAGATCCTTACGGGCCGCGACGTACGCAATACAAGTGACAATTGATGCACCCCTCCCCCTCCCACTAAGCAATACACGTGTAAACGCGATAACGAATTTTCTACATAAGCGCCGGTGTACGTCTACGAGATTCTCGAATAAACTTAATTTGTGTACAAAATCTACAGGGTATTACAGTCTTTCGTCGTTAAACCTGGTCACTCTTGCATCGCGTCGGAAGACACGACATACTTTCCACGCTTGCTCTTCATTCGTTCTCCCGCTAATTTACACTTATATACAAATATAGGTACATACGAACCTCGCGATAGAGCGAGTAATGCTCGCTGCAAACAATGTGCATTGTCGGTACGTTGAAACACAGTACAGTGTGAACGAAAAGTCGTAGTGTCATGCAAAGAAATTCGTTCGACAGACGTTCGAATAACGCTCGTCGTTAATGTGAGCCTCGGTGCTAAATAATACTTTTCAAAATCATTTTTGTGCAGACTACTGCTCTTCCTCCGCTATCTCGTTAATCTTTATGTGCGCTTGAGACAAGTCAGTTTCTTCTTCGGGATCTTCCATTGATAAATCTGTATTATTATTCCTCGCTTGACGAATCTTCTTGATTTTCTTCTTGATCGCCATCGCACCTTTTTGAACATATTATCCAAATTACAATTCAATTCAGATTTCGCGTCGGAACGAACGGAACGAAAACCGCATACTTACACATCAGTGTCTGCCATAACTCGGCCTTCTTTGCTGTTCTATTGTTAAATTTTTTCAAAGACTCCTTATGCCTCTTATGGATGCCTGCCAATTCGATCGCTTCTTGCGTGGGCGGCGGAAATAGGCAGATTTCCAGCCAATGTATAGCCCTTGCATGTCTGACAATCTTTAGCCATATCTAATGAAATACGAAATTTGTATCGACACATTTGTATCATACGCTTCTAAATGTAGTTTATACCAAGAGGGCTTTCTTCATGTGTTAATGAAGATATAATACTATATTTTAAGTTATACGACATTCTATGAATAATGAGAAAGCATAATACACACTTACTGAATCTAAGCACTCTGCTGCAAACCAAAGCCACAAGCCAGGATCTGTCCTCGCATATTTACCCTCTTCTGACCAAAGCATATATATAGGCACATAATACAAGTACAAATATATCCTGAACACATAATTACAATTTAAGTTACACGAATATACCGATATCAGTGTATATGAGATATAGATACAAATGTACTATGTACTAACCAAATCTGGCAGTGTAGTAGGAATATTACTTTGCAGACTGGCCTTCCAGCACATTGAAAAATGCACAAAATCACCCGGCATATATTAACTATCACAATGTCAATAGTTTTGTACATTAAGAAGGTACTTGTAATTGTGCACCACCTATAACTTCAAAATACTCACTAGTTACTGAGGCTATATTGATGGACATTAAAACAACGCAAATTCAGGATTCTTAGAACAAACAGCAAGCGAAAAAAAATAAAACTGAAGAAGCTAAGCCACAAACATAAGAATATATAGACGATTAAAAGCAACGTCCACGATAAAATGAAGAGTGAATTACTTTTGTCGATATGGATTCAGGATGAATGATGCAAAGAGTAAGTTTGCAAAACCCTTAGTCCAAGCACTATGACACAGTATGTTGATTCCAGCCTGATGAAAGTAGAAGCTCTTGTGCAGAGCTATCCCTAATTCCTGATATGTTATTCCTTGTTCTTGAGGTGCAATGCTCAAGATTTGAGTAGCTGATGACATCATGTAACATATGCTACCAAAGCAAAATCCGCAGTTCCATACTGCCTTGATTATTCTGTTTCGTTGCACCAGTGGAAAGCGCATACGTCTGAACAGCGACTGCATTAAAAAAATATAATGGATAAATACACATACAGGGGTTGTACAAAATTGAAACGAATTTATTTATAACTTACGTTGAGGCATTTTTCATACAGTAGATACAACGTCACCCAGAATAGTATGAGATATCCCACTAGCACGTCGGTATCGCGTACTTTCGTGTCGCTCGGATAACGCGAAATTATCACTTGCTTGTTCCATAAATGCGGCACGAACGGCAGAACATTTGTCGGATCAAATAAGGAATAAAGACCAACGGCCCAGTTGCTTGCCGCTTGTTCGTACATACTTCTGATAGTCCGACAATGATGAAGACATATATCACATTCGAAGTGTCAAACGTGTATCAAGTATCAAGAAAGTGGTGGATGTAACACGGACTGCCACCACATTCAGATTTTTACCGTCGAGTGGATGTTTACCTGAAAGTGGATGTAACATCGTAGTTCCCCTCTCAAAATGGATGGCAGGTGGCGCCCTTTCCCAGTGCGGAAAATCGGTGTCACCGAAAACGCCGTGTTGGCTGCTCTCAGGTTCCTCTCTGCTTTTCAATGAGAGGTTGAGGTAGTGGTACAACTCAACGTTAGGTTAGACAGATCTTTAATTTCTCCTTTTTTTCTCTTTCTTCCAACAGCTGTGATCTGTAAGCACCATTAAATATTATTGGTAACAACTTATTAAATATTAAATGATCATGAAAAGACTACAAAGCGGTCGATTATTTCTGATATTTTCAGGGCATAATTTACTGCAAGAAATCGATATTTCTTATCGACTCTATTCGTCTGGCTTCAACATCGATTCTTTTCCGCACTGTCACACGTTGACAGTTTTTATACGATTTGATATAGTTCTCAGTATTTTATATAGCTCTCGACCCGCACAGCCGGTTTGAGATTAAAATATTTTACTGTTGCGCGAATACAGTTTCTTCTACACTTTTTCGAGGTATCGCGAGGCTTCGCGCAAATATATGGGCGACACATAAATACTATCGCATAAATACTATCTAAAATCAAGAGATATGTCAGATATCTCAATGGTGAACAGTATTATTACTAAGAGAGACCGCGAATGTTTCGCGTGCAGAATGATCAGTGGTTGTGGTCTATTCGGATCTGGTTTATATGTTTATCACCATACCAAAAAGTATCAAAATCCTGCAGGACAAGCAGCGATGTATGCAATTTCCTCTGGTATGTTCAACAGTATGGATTATGGAGTAGCACAATGATGATATATGTTGTGTATTTATATATCCAATAATCTTATTTTCAGTATTGGTGCTTCTCGGCACAGCTAGAATTCTGGATATACCACCGTTCCAGGATCGATTTAAACGCAAGGAATAAACCATTTAGATCAGTATACAGCTTCGGTATACAGCTATTGCACTTCGTATGAATATGAATTTAAAATGACAATAATTTGTGCAACTATTACGTTCTCATGGCTTTTCATTATATGGTTTGTCTACCTCATGTCATATAAATGGTGTCATTTGAATCTAGCTCTGGAAGAACTGGAGCTTCAAAGCAACTTTGGATATTGTGATATTTCATAGATACTTATGATATTGTATTTGTCATGTTAAGAAAAAGAGAAATTTTATATAAAAATACAATTATATATTTTATCTTCTATAACATATAACATGTGTGTTCGCAAATTGTAAATTTGCAAATCTGTCAAATTTTAGAGAGCCTACTCAACGAGAAGTGTATCAACAAGAAACTTATTATATACATTGTTAAACTACTCGTTTACTTGCTCCAGAGAATAAGCTGCCACGGTCGGTGTCGTGACATTCTTCTTTTTTCTAATCTTACGTTAACTTTTATTTTTATAATCGACAAAAGAGCGAATCCGCGCGGAGATAATTGAAGATTGCTGACGTTACCGACCGTTCTATCTGCAAAAATGGTTTAACAAGAATGATCTAATATAGTGCGCTGCGTGCTTACGTAAGTACGTCTACCAGAAGTAGCGTCAGTCGCAGAGCTGATTAACGCGTTGTGGTTTGAACAATCGGATGATCCAGTGTATATCGGGTGACCGAAGAGACGGTCAATAACGTGAGAATTCTTCAATTATCCCCGGATCCACGTGGCGGTCGGCGGTCGATGTTAACGCGACGTGCCTCGTCGAGAGCGCAGCACACGCGCGTGTTTCTCTCGCGCTTCTCTCTCGCTAGTGTCGCAAAGCGCAGCACGCGAAGGCCTCGCCGCGAAGAACGAGCCGTAAACGTTTGCGTTGCGCGCTCGCGCTCGTTAATATTCACGCGGCGTTACTTCCTGTTACGTACTCTCGACGATACACTTATAGGACACCACCGGCTATGTGTATCGACGTAAACTCGTCTACCCACCGTGCGAGAGTCGGCCGGCCGCCTACACGACCGAATGCCCCGCGGCGAAGCGCGAGTGCTGTCGGGAAACGTTAACCGTCGCTCTCATTCTAGGCACTCGCGATATTAAATTAATAAAGCCACGCGCGATGGAATTTTTGCTGGTCGCGCCGGACGAATTCCAATCGTTCGAACGGTTCACTAACTCGAAGACGTAAGTACAAGGGCGCGAATAGTCTGTCGCGCGTTCGTGCAAATTTCGCGCTGTCACGAAGGGACAAATTAACCTTAAATTTGTTTGGGGGGAAAAAAAGTTATAGCCGCGATACTGATTTATTATGCAATATTTACTGGAGATGGGCGGGATGAGGCTGTGGTAAATAATAAATACAAGAGATTTTACGCGTTATAACCTGTATATCTGTCTTTTATATACTTCATATTTCTTCTTCCTTTTCTTTCAGATCTCAGGATGTGCACATGATGTATGGAAGCATCCGCGATGCCAAGGACTCGCCTTCTTAGACTTCACGTCGAGCGACGAGCGTACTCAGGCGGCTACTGAAACGGTGAGTGCAAGTGACGGTGAGCTTTCGTCGGTCGTCCAGGCGAGGTCACGCCTAAGGTCGTTCTCCGGGTTCCGGCGCCACACCCTGGGACCGACGACGTTCCTGCGGAGGTGGCACACGCGAACCGATGGGCCGTTCGGGCAACGAGCGGGGTGACGAGGGCGAGTGTCCCGCGCGGTCTCTTGCCCATCGACAGTCCCGACACGCAGGAGATCGCTCTTGTAATACTTGGAACACGTTGCGACCCATCCGGTATACGCTCGGCGTGCCTATTACGTGTGCTGCCTGCCCCGTTCGCGATGAACCGAACGACGCCCGTGTTCCGCAATGTTCCCGGCCCACTGCTGCGCGTGTCCTTAAGAGGACGCGCGAACAAAGCTCGGCCTGGAACGAGAAAAGGCGATTTTAGACAGGGTTTATTGAGGTAATGAGCTATTCGAGATAATTAAGAGAGCTTTGTCAGACGGTTGGGCAGATTGAGCCGAAACAGATAGCGTGTTGTCGCGGGAATGTATTTAATGAGTAACAAGCAGAAATATTACGAGGGAAATGTTGGGCTTCCGGGGAAATAATCCTATCAGGAGCAAAATTTGTCTTACAAGTTCGTCAGAATCGTCGCAGTCGCGTCAATTCATATCGTTGTCCTATTGTTATTTATTCCCGTGAAAGATGCTTATTTCGGATGCTACCTCCGCTACCTCGCAAGGAACGTTTATTTCGAACCGCCGGAATGCAGGATACACGGCTTCGCGAAGAAGGCGAGCGCGAGAATGGATACAAAAGAAGCATCCACTCCGAGGGATTTTATTTAGATATTGCGCAAAGATAGCCCGAAGCCGGCTCGAAAATTATATTCATCCGCGTTTGAGCCGCATGTTTAACTAAATTACAGTCTGGTGATACCGATCGAAATAACCGTATGTGACCTTTATTCGGAACTAACGAAGCTCGGACGGTCACGCTTCGCGTTAGAGATGCAATGAGAACACAGCTTGCAAGAGAGAGAGAGAGAGAGAGAGAGAGGAGAGAGAGAGAGAGTGAAAGAGACGGCGGGATTGAATTCCAGCCTCTCTTTGAATTCGATTCAATTCAGAGAGTCTAGACGATGGCGTGAAGACAATCGTCCCGTCGACGATTAGATTTTATCACACGGCGCGATTTTGACCCTTGGCGACGTTCCCCGAGCGCGCGACAAGTCGAGCACGAAAATTCCGCGATTCTCGCCGTCGTCGATGGAAATTCCGCTTAAGAGGCAAAAATCGAGGCGCTCGCTCAAATCAGACGCACGTATGCGCGTGCGGTTGCCCCATTCGAGCGAGAGATCCTTTTGTGGAATTTGATCGTCTTCGACACTGCTCGTCAAAGATACCAATCTTCCTCCCTCCCCTCCTTCTCTCTCTCTCTCTCTCCATCTCCCTTTCTTTTTTTCCCGTCAAGAAAGCGAACATGCTACGAACAAGACGTAAAACTCGCGGAGGCTGCGCTCGCCGGAAGCGCCGGTGCGGTTTTGCAGCGTGTTGCGCGCTCCTTCTTCTTCTTTCCCTTCTTTTTCGGCGTGCGAGTATTGCGAGTCGCGCGGCAGCCGCAAGAAGCGAGGCGCGCGTTGCGTACCTTCCACGCGTCACGGCGATTCGCCGCGCTTCGCCACACTGTGGAAACCGGGAATTTCATTGTTAATCCTGTTACGCAACGCACGTAGCGGCGGCGGCGGCGACTACGTGCATCGTGTCGGTGCGTGGCCACCGGCTGAAATGACGCGTGACGGACGAAAAGCTGAGAAAGGTGAAGGAAAACGATCGGAGAGAAGGATGACGAGGAGAAAACGTGCGCGGTCGCACAGGGCTAGCGATCGTAGCGGCGAGTAGGCGAGAGGGGAGGGCCGGACGGAGGGAAGGATCTTCAAGGTCCTTCGCCGTCCCCGATATCCCGATAAATCCAGCGTTCCGGCGGATGAGAGAAAGCAGCGATGCGTCCGAGTCGCGCGCGAGTGCCGAGTGCGAGCGATTGCGTCAACGTGTAATTGCAAGGTACTGTGCGATACGTTCGTACCTCTGTTCGTCCCGTTCGTTCGTTCGTTCGTTCGTCCCGAAGACAAGCTCAACGTCGTACGCGGGTAAGCCGCGTGCGGTATCTCACGTGTACGCGGATTACGCCAGCTTCTTGTCTTAGCCAGCGGCGTCTTGCAGCACACGGCCGCCGACCATTAGCCAGGCTGCCCCGAGGATCTTCGATCCTTGCGAATTCCGACGGGGAGAGACTCGTCTTCCCGTCGTCCCGTCGACGCGGGAACGCGTCGCGGTAGGTTGCGCGAGTCGAGGCTTTCCCGTGTCGGATCGAACCTGGTCGCGCGACTTGACTTTCGATCAACAATATGCGGTAAATGAAGTTCTTGAGTGAAAAACGATCTCGAATCACGTCGGACCTGCACTGCCCTTTCCCAGTTTATTCACTTTTGCGTCAATTGATGATTCCCTCTGAGAGTTGCGACAAATTCTGTCTCAGCCCGGAAGCGATTCTGTCTTGAATGTATTCAAGTCTTCGCACTTTGAAATCATCGAATAGATCGGATTCGGATTCGAACAGCTCGCACATCACTTTAATACGTCATCGTCAAATGACGAGTTCAATTTGGGGCAGAAGGGAACGGCGTCGCCGCCGTGTGGCATTTTCAAATTTGAAGAGCGTGATAAAATTCGAGTGACGGCGACAAACAGCCGTCTTGAGAGATGAATAGCACGGAATTTGCCGGGCGACGGTCGAGTCGGCTGCACCGCGCGGAAACCAATTGACGGGCGATTGATCGGTACGCGCCGTACGCATAATTAATTATTACGTGCCGGAGCGCGCGAATTCTGCCGCGGCCGGCGGTCGACTCGAGTCGTCGTTCGCAACTCGGTCGGGAAGTATCGGGACCTCGACACTCGGCGTATGTCGGAGTTTTCGGAATTACCAACTAACTGCCGAGGCACGTTGCTGACGTCGTTGAATACGTTTGTTTTTAATCGCGTCGCGCTGCGCCGCTGCACAGCGGGCCAGAATTCCAGAAAAGTGTCAAAAAATACATTTCTCGACTGTTTCTGGATTTAAGCAAATACATGTCTATTTGATAACATTAATGTCAAACTGATGAAATGTAAAATGATTTTCCTCTTGGACATATATTAAGGTCGCAAGATATTCACAAAGTTGACGTCTTTAACAAATGCCACCGATTGTCATATTTAACTGATACAAAAGATATTTTTATCGAATAAAACAAGCTATAAAATAGTCATGAATAATAATCGTTATTATATAAAGGAATTCTACGACTCTTCCTCTTTCTAATAGTATATAATAAATTATAAAAAAATAATTTTATTACCATATAATAACGCATCAAAACTTGGTTCGCTTGCACGAAAATATCAATCAGCTATCTTTCAGAGCAAATCGATTTTTGAAAACGTACTCGTCGTGACTCGTCGATTCGACTTAATCGGTTTTGTAACTGATGCTTCGTACTTTAATATCCAGAAAAGGTCGTCTGCTTTTATCTGCTTTTACGACAGCTAGAACAAAATAATTATTGCAATGTTGGTAGATACGCAATGTCCCGAAAAATCAAAATATTGAAATTTGAAAACTAGGACTATTTATCGACAAGTCATAATATTAAATACAAATACTGAGACAAATTATCGATACATACACACACACACACACACATATATATATATATATATATATATATATATAATGAAAACAATAGATTTTTTGAACACTTCGAATACGACTCACACTAACAACTGGTAGTACAAGAGTTATGACAATCTCTTTAAGCCATGTAAAATTCTTATCCTTAAACTGTATTATATTTCTTTAAGAAGATTACTGCCGCTCATTATATTCAAAAGCAAACTTGCAAGCATAATAATAATAATAGTTATTATTATAATATTATTATTATTACTATTATTATAATTATAATTCTATAATCATAATAAAATTAACGATATTCAATGATTAAATGATATTAATGACATGTATTTGTTTAAATCCAAAAACAGTCGAAAAATGTATTTTTTGACACTTTTCTGGAATGCTGGCCCACTGTGCGCTGTTACGTGTAAAAACTGTTTTGCAATTGTTTTATCGTTTTATCGCAGACGGTGCGACGAAAATCTGATTTCCATTCCCAGCTTCATCGTTATTAATGGCGTTACCGTGTCTACTTTTCCCTTTCCATCTTTAATGTGCGTCGCACTTCGAGCGCAGTTTTGCCACGGTGACTGGCAGCCCGCCCCGTTTGTTTCCGATCGTTCTCTTTTATAAAGCAAAAATTTTATTCCGCCGAATATCTAAATCAATTCTGCTTCTCTCCTTCTCTCTCTCTCTCTCTCTCTCTCTCTCTCCCCCTCTCTTTCTGCCTATCTCTTTCCCTCCTACGATGTGACAGCGCGCGAGATCGCTGAAATTAGAACGATGATTTGATCTCTCCGTACGTTAAATGCGAAATTTCGCATCGAGTTAGTCGCACCGCAAGCGGGGACTCGAGAATAACTGTCTGCGCGTATCGACCGGCTTATTTCGAGACGTAACGTTCGTGTCGTGGCCGATTGGATCAGAAAAGCTCGTCGTCGTCGTCGTTTGAGAGCCTTGCGACATGAGCTAAAATCGCGCGTCGGCGCTGATAATTCTCTCTCACGCGAAAAAATAAGATGTACAAACGCCACCGTTGCGAGAGCAAGGAGAAAAAGATAGAGAGAGAGAGAGAGAGAGAGAGAGAGAGAGAGAGAGAGAGAGAGAGAGAGAGAGAGAGAGAGAGAGAGACGCAGTCGCGAAGCTCCCTTCGATTCCCGTTCAAGTTTAATAGGACAGCTCATACGCCGCGCTTGGAATTACACTCGACCGTAAATCAGCGGCGGTAAAGCGCGCGGATATTAGCCGGCCCGGTAATTCGCCGGATGCTATATGCTCGGCTTCGGCAAGATCGCGCCTAACCGAAGTCGACAGCACGAAAAGCGCGTATCGCGCGGCAAGCGAATACGAATTGGCCGTCGAGCTCGGCGAGCGGCAATTTCCATTCCGCGTGAGATTGCAAGCGGCGCTGATGCGCGGAAGCGCGTGGAAGACTAAAGTGTCGTACGGCGAGTCCCTTCGTTTATCCCTTCTGCAAGGAGTCTCCGGAAAAATTCCTCTCGGCTCGCTGCCGATCACCTTGTTTCCCCGGGAGGTGCTCCTCGGTATGCGGCTTCGCCCGATGAAGCCGCAGCATATTTTTCGCTTTCATGATTTGACGCGTTCGTTCGGGTCAAACGCGCCGGAGCGTTCGCTCGAGGGTAATTTACACTGCTGCTGCTTTTATTTATTTTGAGCAAGCTTCTTAATTCGCCGGCGCGAGTTCGCTGATAAAAACTTCCAAACGGTAGACTTTTATTCGCTAGCGTGTAATATTTAAAACCCGCTGGTAAACACTGGCGGACACGCTCGATTTTTATCCGCTGGCGTCTAAAATTTACGGGACGCCGCGGCTGGTGGTCAAAGTTGAACGTGGCCAACTTTGCTTGCAGCGACCACTAGACGTCGCGTTTTCTCAATTTTAGACGCCGGCGAGTAAAAATCGAGCGTCCAGGGGGCAGCTGTTCCACCAGCGAATTCGCCGGCGAATTAAGAAGCTCGCTCAAAGCGAATAAAAGCAGCACCGCGTAAATTACCCTTTAGCTACACAGGCGTGAGACAAAGGACGAGAGAACGAATTCAGTACATCCCGCGCGGAGAACAATCCCGACGGCTGTACGGCGTGTTCTACATAGAAAGTCGATTCCAGCGAAGCCGAAAGCCTCTCGCCTCCGCCGAGCGCTGCTGCAACTTGCAAGTTGCCTGCACGGCCGCGTTCGTCGTTTTCAATAAAATCAGAGTGCCAAGCGGTTGGTTGAAAAACTGTCCCTCGCGCTGATTTTTCGCGCAAATCCCGCGCGTTTCTCGCCGAGCGCAACACGCAACACATGCAATCTCCCGCAGACGATCGACAAGACTCTCAACTATTTCGTCTCGAAAGCGCGCCCGCAAACGATCGCACCCGCGCGATCTCAGGTCGCGCTGAAAATTTTGCACGCTCGCTTTTGCGAGAACAATCCCACGCTCGTAATCGCGCAACGCACCGCGATGTCGCAGGCTTCTCGCTTCGCCGGATTCGCTGATTCGGCATTAACGGTGACTGCGAACCGAGGAAATCACACTCTCTTCCACCTGCGCGTGCGATCTCTCTCTCTCTCTCTCTCTCTCTCTCGTCGGCAGGCGCGAGGAGGTAGGCGGGCCTCGCGATCGCCGTATCGCCGCGGGCGCCTCGCGCCCGGCAGAAAAGCGCGCAGAAATCCGTAAACCGAGAAAGGACCGTTGCACAAGCGTGCACCGTTGCATCTCTCCACTCCGACCTTTAGGGCCGGCACAAGGCACAAATCACACCGGCGCGTCTACGTACGCTTTCGATCGTACGCTCGCTCGGCTCGGCTCGGCTCGGCTCGGCTCGGCTCGAGCGAGCGAGCGAGGAATTTATTGCGAAATAAACTAGATTCTTAAGGTCGCGACTCTCGCGCGCGTGACGACGGCGACGGCGACGGCGACGACGCGCTCGTCTGACGCAAAGCCCGCGACGAGTCGCGCGTTATTACACGTGGCTAATGAGTAAATATCCGCCGGCAGTCCCGCCGCGCCGCGCCGCGCCGATGCGAGATCGTGAAGGGTGAAGCGAACGACACGACGGAGGCGTTAGCACGACGTGTTCCGCAACGCGCGCGGGCGCCGCTCGTCCTTTGTGCGCCGCGCAATCCTATTGAATCGGCCGCGAAGCCGAAGGCAGATTTTCGCGACCGCGATTCCCCGCGAATGCGGACTCGCGCTCGCGCGTCCGCGACGTGTATCGCCTTTGCCGATGATGAAACCGTGCGCGAGTCGTGCGCAAAGTCCGCGCGTCTACGTGCAACAGATTCCAATTGCTGCTCCGAAGGAGCGCGAAAAGGAGCAGGAGGAGAGAGGCGCGCGTCTATTTTTAGAGTTTCGCGAAAAAAGCGAGCTTTTTCGCTTCGGCGGCGCTAAAGAAATCAGACGACGCTTGACGCGCTTCGCCGTCGACCTTTAGGGCCGAATCCCGGCGAGTCACGCATCGCGTTAGCGATGCACGCACACGGTTCCACGCACTGGCACGCCGCTCACGCGTGCACGTAGCCTCGCCAGTACTAGCACCGTACAACCAGCCTCGCACGCTCGCTAGAATACTAATGGCCCATGGGACACGCTCGGTCGTCCGCGACCGTAGAATCCGTCTTTTATCCTCGTAAGGTCAAACCGCTTACACGCGGACTCGAGGAGTGAGGAATAATGAAAGGTAAATACTATAATCAATCCCTTCGTCGGCTGTGTGTCGATGAGGGAGATTCGTCGGTCGCTCGTAAACGATAGTCGATGAGCCGGAGAGTGGCGGTCGTCGGTAGCAGATAGTTTCGTCGGAAATTCGTCGAAGAAGCGGCTGAAGAGAACCGTCAAAGATACGCGGATCTCGTTTCTTCGTATTTTGCTATTTTCACGCGCCACTCGATTTGTTGTGAACGTTCGGAAGCACTGATAAGGAGATAAGGGAGAACCTTATTTGCATTCCCGCGCGCGCGCGCGCGCAACTTCGACTTGACTTTTAACACGCGCATCTATGATTCATCTCGATCTCTCCGAGCCTGCGAAAAGATTTGATCGCACCGGCGACGGGATCTCCCGATCGATAACGTTCTTTACTCAACCATGTGAGTTCCGCTTTTCATGCGCTGCTTTATCTGTGCTTCGTTTCGCGATCCGACTTATCGGCGAACATCGGCGATTTTTACCGCACACCAACAGCTCTCGAGCGTTGCTCTTGTTGCGTCGGGATGCCGAGGACGCCGTTTCCACTTTATCGAGATGGGAAACTGTTTTCGACAAAAAGAAGTGAAGAAAAAGAGAAACGCGCGAGAATCTCTCCCTTCTGGTATTAAGACGTCAAAATGCAGGAGCGCTCTGGAATCATCGCTTGACATTATAAGTAGATACCCAAGACCGGAAATTATCGCCAACATTAATTTACTATGAAATCCTTTTTAAGGCGGGTCGCGCTTGATAGAGATCGAAACGAGCGCAACCAACTTTCTTCTCTTCTATCTTTTCTCGGTCCCTTTATCTCTTGATCTTCGTGTTCCTCCTTCCGCCTTGTTCTTCATCTTGTTTTACGCGGCGACGAGAACTCGCCGCTATCTTCCCAGGATTTATCCAAGCCAAGTCAACATATTATACACACACACACACACACACACACACACAGACACATGCCCACATATTTCTCGTTCACATAACCGATCTAACTAAAACTTGTGTCAATTACCGTCAACGACGACGTTCCGCGATCTCAAACGTTCTCGGCGACCTTTTACCTCTCATTTCTTTCTTCCCTCTGATTGCCCCTTATATCATACCTAATTACATCGCAGCATTATTACAATTCCATTTTATCGGACTCGTTGGGCCGGCGGCGATGTCTGAAATTAGAAAACGAGCTCTCGAGACGCATTACTTCATTAGCTGAAGTTGGAATAAACCCGATAAGAGCTATGATTATGATTTTTAGCTCGCTTATTGAGAGATCGCAGGGTGAATTGTGTCGGCCGTAGGCTTCGAGGAGCAGGATCCCTTTGTGCGCGTACACACGTACGAATGCCGGGTGTGTGAGGAGCAACACGACCCGCCATTACAAAGTCATGCCGGTCGCTCGGCCGCGTATACGAATATACGCGTTAATATCAGGAATTACTTGGGCATCGCCTGCTAGACAACTTGACGTCTCAAGCATCTATGAGCGCGCGCGGCTCTCGCTCTGGGCCGCTCATTTTCTAGAAAACGTGACCCTTTTTATCGAAATTAGCACGTGGTGCGCCCTTTGCACCACGGGCTGCTCCATTACCGAAAGCTATTTACGCTTCTCGTCCGCTTATTGCGGAACGGCGTGTTTGACGTAATCCCTTTATCCCGAAGCGCAATGGAAATTACGACGTGTCGATTTTTGTGCGAAAAGCGGCCGCGGTCCCGCCAGCATTATCGCAAGTATGCTAACGAGCGCTTTGTTCACCCCCTAACGATACCGAGTATCTCGCTGTCGATCGCGGAAAAAGAAACATTCGTAACTGGCGCGCGCGCGCGCATATACGTATGTATATGTGTGTGCATTTTAAATTTTAGACATACGTAACGAATATGTAAATTCCCCCTTCTCTCTCTCTCTCTCTCTCTCTCTCTCTCTCTCTCTCTCTCTCTCTCTCTCTCTCTCTCTTCCCCTTTTCCCCTACTCGTATTCATTAAAAAGTTGTCGACTACTAAGAACATGATATTTAAATTTGCTCCAACAAAATGCGCGCTTCTCTGTCTCTCTCTTTCTTTCGCTTATATCCCAGGTGATATAATCGCGGTCGAAAGTGTATTTAAAAAATACACTCCAAGAGGCGAGCGAATACACACACACACACACACACACACATACGAGAAGGAGAAGACGAAGGAGAGCGGAGAACAAAAAGCGGAGGTAACGCCGCGAGCGCGCTCGCGTTCGATTCAATTAACGACGCTGGAAAACAAGCTTCTCTCTTCCTTTTATTCCGGAAACGGCCGATTCGCGCGCCACGCGCCCCGATATATTCATCGGTCCCTTCCGTATATGGTAAAGCATCCGGAGTCCGCGATCCCGTCTCGGTTACATAAATCGATTTCTATAATTAAAGCCGGCCGGCCGGGCCGATCCGATCGGGAGCGGAGCGAAAGAACCCGCGAGTTTTCTCGCGGTATCTCTCGCTACCACTCGCGAGCTCGACTTCCTGATACGGGGGAGGGGGGGAAGGGCCTTCCCTGCTGCTGCCCCTCGGCAGGCACCAGGGCCCCTTCCTCGAGGCGTGGTGCCGTGGAAGCCCCGCGGTGCGGTGTGTGTTGTGTTGTGTGCTGCGGCATGGCGTGGTACGGCTGCGGTGTGTGCGCCGGTTTTATATAATAAAAGAATCAGCGGGGGCCCGGTTCATACCGGTCCCGCGAAATACCGGCACGCGGCGTCGCCGCGGTATGGCAGCGCGCTCGGCGTTACGCAAGAAGCGCCGGCACGCCGGCATTATTCTGGGTTAAATAATATTATGTCACGAGGAAAGCGGGACTCTTGTGCAATCGGACGCGTGAGCGAGCTCGTTCCGTCGGGTCAGCCGAAGAAACTCCCGCTTCCTCTCGCTCTCGAGACTGCGGATTTTACGCCGCCGTGCGCGTGCAGAGAGAGAGAGAGAGAGAGATTTTTCTTTATCTACTCGCACGAAGAATCTTCTCATCGCGTATTCGAGTCGTCCGATACGTCGCGTCGACCTGTGTCTCGACGATCGAGACGCGACGAGCGCGTAATCGCGGCGACCGGTGAATTATGAGCGATTAAGAATGCGCGAATTCTCGTCGGGAGTCGAGTGGATTTTTGGCCCGAATAGAATCTGATTGGGACGTGCGACATTAAAAGTCGAGGGAACGTGGGCGAGGGGACGACGGTCCCGTTGAACTTTCGTCCAGGCGAGAGAAGATCGACTCTCCAAATTGCTCGGTCTCTCTTCGGATAATAACCGTCCGCCACACACGCACGCGCACACACACACACACACACACACACACACACACACACACACACATACGTTGAACGCCGAGAGAAGAAGAAGAAATACCGAAGCGAGATTCTTCCTGACGGGAGACGGGAGACGGGAGACGTCGGAAAAAGCGCTTTGTCGCTCCGAGAACGGTCTCGGCGTTGCTTCTCTAATAATACCCGACATAATGTGGAAGTGGACAAAATTCCGCGGAGATCCGCGTTGCGAAAATAATTAGCACCCGCGGCCTTTCATCTCCGCGCTCGCGCTCCGGACGCTTCGAAGAGTCTCTTCGGATTGCATCTAATCGCGCTGATCTTATGCAACGCCGCTTAAGGATAGATCCGCTCGGCACCCACACGATGCCAGATGCATTTATCTCGTCTCGCATAAATGTCCGGGAGTACGCGAGCGGCGAAGAGCACACGGCGCGGTCGAACCTTTAGCCGATCTCTGCCTCTCTCTCTCTCTCTCTCTCTCTCTCTCTCTCTCTCTCTCTTCCTTTCTCGCTCCTGCCCCCCCTCTCTCTCTCTCTCTCTCTCTCTCTCTCTCTCTCTCCTTCTCTCTCATTCTTTCATCCGGAGAAAACGTGCGCGGACTTTCGAGGAGGAGAGAAGACGGGCACGACTCGTTCGTGTCTACACCTGGTGCAATCGAGACCTCCTCGCCGAGTACCGGTTCGCATGAAGATATTAAGCAACGTCTGACGTAATCGCGCGCGCCCGGTCGTTCGTCGATCTAATCGCCCGGTCAATTATCCCTCTCCTCTTCCCGTTCCCTGTTCCTCTTCCGGTATCCCGCGTTCTCCGTGTTTTGCCGCTGCTGCCGACGGCGAATTCCATACTTTGACCGTACGGCCTCGGGCCGACTCGGACGACAATGCCGGCGGCTGGCGCGGTGTCCTCGAGGAATCTCGATTTCGTGGGTCACCGGGGGAGCTAACGGTGTCGTCGCTCGGCGGAAGCGACGCTTCCCGCGGTAACGAATCACGCCGATAAGCGGATACGCGCGATCTCCCGCTGACGCGACGGCTCGCGCCGTGATCTCGCGCGAGCCCGCTATAAAACGCGAATTCGCCCGCGCGAGTCTCCTTGGGCCCGCGAGCATTCATGATCTCTGAATCGGCCGGCGAGACCGGCGAAGAGCAGCGAAGCGGCGGCCAAAGCACGGCATTCAGGATGCGAGATACGGGACGCAAATCGCCGGATGCGTTGAAAATGGAGAAGCAGAAAGAGAAGAAGAAGAAGCAGCAGAAGAAGAAGATGACGACGAGAAGGAGGAGGAGGAGGAGGAGGAGGACGATGGCGGCGGACGGACGCCGTACGCAAGGGTGGGGACCGCGCAGAAGAGGAGGCGCTTTGAAAAGCAATTTACGGCATCGGGGATGAGGTGATCGCGCGGCCCGTCCGGTATTTCCCCGCGCGTGGATGGTCTGTGAATCGGTCCAGGTCGCTGCCGCGCCAATGACGTCGATCGTGATGATGATGACGATGATGGCGATGATGATGATGATGATGGCGATGATGATGATGAAGATAAGGATGATGGTGATGAGGGGATGGTGTTGATGGCCGTGATGACGACGCGCCCACCTTGGGAGCCATCGGCGGCCGCTCGCACCTTTTCGTAAATTTCAGCGATCTCGAGCCGCCTCGCGAGGTGTAGTCTGACCTCTAGTCGTCGACCTGCGTCCAGACCTTGGTCTGGAGAACTCGGGGACTTCGCAGGTAGCATCCCTGGGAGTCTCGGGGTGGTGGGAGGTGGGAGAGGACGACGAGAATCCGTGTCGAAGATCGAGCAATAAGAAGACAATCGTTCCGCTTGTTCGCGCTTCTTTCTAATTGACTCGGGGCGTTTATTAGCAGCGACGACGGCAATCGTCGCCGTGTAATCTGGATTATCGATTATGGCCTGCCTACCGTAGTGGAAAGAAACCCGTCTATTTCCAATATGTCAGGGCTCCGATGATGACTGGCAGCGATATTCGGGGAACGATGTCACCGCGTGGTTCTGCATCCGCGCGACTACGCGTAACGAGGCCGATGCTCCGGAGCGCGCCGTTTAAAGACGCCTAATTGCATCGATTACAGATATTTCGTCCGCGCTCGTCGTTAAATGCGGCTCCCTCGGCCCGCTCGCGAGCGAGCGACAACGGCTCTACCCCGGCGAGATCGATTAGCGGTCTAACGAACTTTAATTAAATCTATCGCGAACGCGCGCCACGCGCTCGCACGGGGTTACTCTGGAATCGGACATCGGTAATTAGATATCGACCGCGCGAGATGACGGAGGCGCGAAACGGCGCGGAACGCCTATCGGATCATCAGTAAAATTATGCTCTCGATCCTTGGATTCTGTCGTCGTCGTCGTCGTCGTCGTCGTTATCGTCGTCGTGAGTCCCGCTTGGCTGAGAAGCCAAGCGGGGCTGCGTTAGAGCTGTGTCTTCACATTGTGCTTTTAATTCGTCGTGATTTAATGGACATGGTATCGATTTATCTTGCAATTAACCAGAGGGGAGGCTTGCGTTTCGAGAGGAGCAACAAGTCGTACGATTGTTTGCTCAGTCGCTCAGTCCTCTAAGTAGTCGCGCTGGAAAATTCGGTTAATGACGGAAAGATGGATGGAATGTGTGGTAGAGCGCAGCAACTGTCCCGTTTCCGCGTTCACGATGCGGCGCGATGAGGTTGCCATAAAATCAAACCGAGGCGTACGTTGCGCAAGACATGCTTTGAATACTTTTCTTCTTAACGCAGCTCGACGAAACGCAGCGGATGTTCCGTGAAAGGACTCGATTTTTCTGGGAATTTTCCAGAAGCACGTTCTCTCCCCCATTGGCTACGTTCCGAGCTGCGTTCAAGGAAGAGCCCTCAGATTTGGAAACTACGTGCCGTTCCTCCTGTTCGATACGACGAGAAATCAGATCGTCCTCGAGCGACCTCGGGGAGGATCCTTCAAGGAAGAACCGAGAAGAAGGTCACTCGAGCAGCGTTGCACCACGCGCGATCCGCGCGCGATCGTGTCTCTCCGCGATCTCTCACGGCGCCGACTTCCGGTTTTACGCGTCGTCGAGGCTGTCGGCCACACGCTCCTCTTCCTCCTCCAGGACCCTCGGCGTCGGTGTAATTGACTTTGCGCAACCGCGCAACCTGGGATCGTCTGTCTGCTCGCGCGGGGAACAAGCGGCGGGATGAACTTTTCCGTATCGGGAACGCTTATGAAATAATCCATCGCGGATCGGTACCCCGGCCGGCTAAAGGTCCGTTCACACCTCCCGGCGAGCAAAGCGATGAAAGGGAAAGGATGCTGCGAGGATGCGCGCAGACGCACGCGCGCTTCCACGTCGACGACGACGACGACGACGACGACGAGGACGAGGACGAGGACGATGTCGGGCCTCGTCGGCGTATTTTCGTCGGCATCTTGCCGAGAGTTCGTCGGCCAGTCCCCAAGTATTCCGTTAAAACCAGTTCTCCTCCTTCTGGGTATGAGATACAGAACATTTCGTTACGAATATTAATTACGCGTATTAATAAATGCGAGGAGATCCTCACAGACGCGGCGGCTACAATTTCCGTCTGTGCAAAATTCATCCCGATTCTCTCTCTCTCTCTCTCTCTCTTTTCCCCCTCCTTGTCTCTCTCTCTCTCTTTCCCCCTCCTTGTCTCTCTCTCTCTCTCTCTCTCTCTCTCTCTCTCTCTCTCTCTCTCTCTCTCTGTTTTTCACCTCCCCCATTTTCTCGTTCCGTGTGGAATCTCGCGCAAAAATTGCCGTCGGCACTTGGACGGCGCCGTGGGTCTCTTAATGTACGAATGTCTTAATCTTCATAAGCCACATTGCACTTTTGTACGTCGCGACAGCTTCGCTCGTCAGATTCGTCATGTTGGAACGCGAAAAGCGACGATTCACGCTGCTCAATCGTGTTGCGACTCTATCCGCGTCGAACAGTACGTCTACATACCGCTATCGATAAATCTATCCGGGATGCATCCTCAAGATGTTCTTGCCGCTGTCGGATTACCCAACATCGGCAAAGCACCCGCGCCGATCTCTGCTCTAACGGAGAGGGAGGAGGGAGGGCGAGGGGGAGGGGAAAGAGCGGGGGGAGAGATAGGTTAGCTTCGTGCGAGCAAATCCTCGTGAAGTAACAGAATAAAGTTGCGCAAGCCGCATCGTGGGTGAGAAGACGGTACCCGGGAATCGAAAGAAGACCGTGGAACGTGCTGCAGCGGCGTAGAATCGACGCGGCGCGGCGACTACGGTATCACGCCGCAGTGTATTGTGTCGATTCGCTCCGCGCGAGGAATTTGAAAATTTGCGACGTGCGCGGAGCTGAGAATCGTGGAAAACACGAGGCGCGATATTTCCAGCTGAAGCCGCCGAGGCTCGACGTTTCCGCTGCGTCTTAGGTCGTCGTGGAACGACGAATCATTTTCTCGGTCTTTAATCAAACACCGAGTCGCGCGCTTTCGTTCGCGTCTTTACTCGTTTACAGAACCGTGTGTTGAGACGATAAAAATTGCATCGCCTCTCCTGAAGCTCGACGAAGGCAAGATAGATGGATAGATGGATAGATAGATAAATAGTTAAATAGATGGATGAATGGATAATGGTATTGAGCGTGCGTTCGATGCGCATGGGAATATTCTACCGAGCCGAATGAAACTGACGAGATTTAAGTGAAACAGCTCGGCGAGGAAGAGTGACGAATCTGTTTATTGATATCGCGCCGCGCGGTCCGTTTCATTACACGGTGAACGTTTATTCGTCGCGTCATGATCCTTCCAGGCGGATCGCGACATCAGAACCGGTAACGTGTATCTGCGCGAGAATATCTGGCTCGCGAGAGCGAGCGGGCGAGAGAGCGTTCCTTCCGATTTCGCAGTGGCTCGTCATGCCGACGCCACTGGCGAAGGACGGAGATAGTCGAAAGGAAGAGAAAGGACGCTCCACGAGAGTTCATCGCGTTACGTAAGTGACGTGAATGCGGCTTAAAGGTGCGGTGGAAGCGCGAAGAGTCCGCGATCGGTTGTCGCTCTGACATTTTCTCCGTAAATACTAATAGGACGGCGCTCTCGGCCGATTCGTTGTTTGATTTACGCCTCGCCATTCCTCGCAGCGCGCGCGGCTACTCAATTCACCGATGCTCATCTGACTCATTAGGAACACTCGCTCGTTCCGCTCCTAAGCTACTAAGCCGAAGTATCGGCCAGTGTAATCGGATTCTTAATTCCGTTATATCGGTTCTTTGCTCTCTCGATATGTACACGGTGTGAAAAAAGTCTCCCGACGAGCATACGGACGTAACACCGCCGGGACGCTTCTCCTCGGGAAACCTCGGTCTTCTTCATATTTTCTTGACTTATCCTTCTCCGCCTTCTTTTTCCGTAAGATTTCACAAGTAGGAAGAGAAGGAAACTCAATCACGACGTTTCCGTAGCGACGATTCGATCGTATCTGCCGCGTCTCCTCGGGTTTCATAAAGATCGATAACACTCCTCGCTGTCCTCGTTCGGGGAAACTAAAAATCGATCGCACACGCTTCGGAGGTCGCGCGCTTTTTCTTTGAACTTATGATTTACGGGGAGAAAGGCGAAGAGAAGAAGAAGCTTAACGCGTGGACGCACGACCGAAACTATTTCAAAAGTTTCGTCACCCGCGCGCCGAGGAGAGGGTGGGACGCTGAAGAGGAAACGCGAGGAACTCGAGGAAGGGGATAAAAGGACGTGGAAAGGCGGCGATTCTGATTTCTAAGGCGTGGACAATATATTTCTGACAAGGCCGTTTTTCGTCCCCGCTGTTGATGTAGGACACCGACGCTCGCGGGCCGCGGTGTCCTGTGAGAAAATTCTCTTACGCAAGCCCAGGTACAAAGGACACTTACCTTGGGTCACACACACACACACACACACACACACACACACACACACACATATATATATATATATATTTATATGTCCCGGCACGTTTCACCCTCGTGCCTCCCTTGCGCGGGCTGTATCTTCCCTCCGCCGGATTTTCTTCTCCTTCCCGCCACTTGCTGCACCTTTCTTCCGACCAATCCACCGATACATACATACCAGGTAGCCCACCGTCGAGAATGTTTCATGTGTGTCTTTTGACCGCGATCCTCCCCAAAAGTCCGGAGAAGTTGCGGTCGCTCGTACGCGAATGACAAAAACGTCTTTGAGCGACGGTCATCTCGGTCGTGCTTCATAGATCCGTCGAATTTGTCTCGTCGAGTGCATTTGCCAGCTACGTTGTACGGTCCCTGATACAGCACCAGTCATCTGATTCTCTTGGTCTCTGATCCATTTTCAACTCGTCTACGAAATCCCACAATTTCGGATTCCGGCTTTCACATTCGCCGCGCACTTGTAATCCGCCGTGTAGGTCCGCGTAGACCAAACGAAAGCGATCGGGTTGCTCGGCGGGACTATCCGTCCCGCGTCTCGTCATTATTAATATCACGCTATATCGTAGTTTACCACGGGAGACAAACGAGATACCGAAATCTCGTACGCGGGAGACCGCGCGCGCGGCTCTCTCGTTAGCGACATGGTAGAACGGAGCTTCTCCTTCGGAACTCGCGAACGAATTCGTGAAGAAACGAAGACCATCATTAGCGCACACGTGCGTCCCCCGAAGTTTGTGGAAGCAATTTCCATAATGGCGACCACCTGCGAGCCCTAATCGATCCTTAACGTGCAATAAAGAAAAGAATGACGCCGACGATA